AGAAGACGCTCAGAGGAGGACCTCAGTGTCCAGGTCAAGCGATGGGGGTGGATATTCACCTTCATAAGTATTTTTTTTAAAAGTAAATTTTTATTGTTTTCCTTACATATTCTTTTCCAACAAATTGTAGTAGCACCATACATTCCCTTTGACTCTGCCGAGTCGCGACCCCCCTCCCTCCCCACAACTGGTATATTTAACCCCTTTCCATCGCGCACATCATTCTCATATTAGTACTCCTTCATAAGTCTTTTTGACAAATACTTATGGCCCCTCCTTTAATTCATCCCTCCTGTTCATGAAAGCCACACAAGGAACTCAAGCAACTGCTTGACTAAAGGCCAGTGCCTTAAAGGAGTTGCATGGCTTGTCTGCTGTATTTATATAGTTATTGTTGCTGCTGTTAACATAAAAAATGTGGATTTTGTTACACAAATTGCTGTGGGTTTATTTTGCTCTGAATGTAAACTCTGGATTATTTTGCTAAGTGAGGGAGAAGGAAAACCCAAACACTTACATCTCTTCACAATTTAATTAGGAAACACACTGCTCATTTCAAACCATTTAGTACATTTAGTACAATTACCAGAATTAATTCTGGGACAAAACCTAACAAACAGATAAACAACATAAAAAGGAAACAAAAGAAGAAAAGAGTGTGGAATTAATGAGATCAGCAGTAAAGATAGTTTGCATTTTGTCTTAGGCTTTTCTTCTTCTTTGTCTTCCCTCTGTCACTCTCAGTTTGGGTGACAGAATGAAAAGGTACCCCTTAGAATCTAATCCAGGGAAGCTAATGCATATGGTCAGAAACTAAACTTTAACTATATCCATTATTTTTCCTGCATTTTTAGGGTCTTGGTTAATGGAATTCTATTTTGCTCCATGGATTTTGATGTGGGGTTCTTGTGTAATGGAAACCCACTCTCGCTTTGGGCTTCCTATAGATAACATCAATAAAGCTTGAATCACCCAACTGACCTATCAGAATATGCAAACTTCTGATGAAAACGGGGCTCCCAAAATCTAGCCCCAAGAGTCCAAGGATATCTGGAGGACCACAGATCCCCTACCCCTGGAGGAGAGACATGAAGCAGTATACGTAGGTGTTATGGCTCTGTTGCAGCGATTGATGCTGTTACCCCACACTAAGTAAACATTTCGTTTTCCTGGTAGCTTAGCAATCACTTGTGCAATGCTTGAACTTCATTTTACAGTCCAGGCCCATCTCACGTCTAAAGGATCAGGAGAGGGATATAGGACCCTGGATTCTGGGAATTCATGACATTTTGTTATCTTAATCTCTTCTGTGGTCTCCTCTGTCGCGTGGCCTTCCTCTGGGCCCTGGCCTGCTCTCTTGGAGCGCTAGCTGCCATGGAGTAGCCTCGGGTCAGGCCTGGGCTTAGCCACATGTCCTTGCCCTCCCGGTGTTCTCCTACCTCTCTTCCTCAGTGGCAGCAGCAGCATGGCAGGGTCAGGGCTCCCCTCTTTTTTCTCCTTCCTCTTTATCTCTCTTCCTTCTCCTTCTCCCTGCATCAGCTCCAGGGTTTTCCTGGCCCTGGAGCACCACTGGGCAGTCAGCTCTTGCTCCCAGCTCAATTTGGGTTGGGGGGGCAGCGGTTCCCCCAGTTGATGCGATCGGCGTCCCCGGTTCCCCCTCAGCAGTGGCAGCAGCAATGGCAGCAGCGGCAGTGGCAGTCTCAGAAGCCCAGAGCCAGCCTGGTAACGCAGTTTGCTCTGGCTTGCTTCAGGAGCTGCTCGGTGCCGTGGCGTCCACCATTTTGCCTCACCGGAAGTCCCCATATGATGTGTCTTCTGCCGTTGAACCAATCACACGACGTTCATTCCCAACTAATAAATCTGCAACACTTAAAATATAAATCCAGGGACATTGAATGAAATCCAGGGGCATTCCGGGGACAGATTTTGTTCGGGGACAGATCTGTAAATCCAGGGACTCTCCCCGGGAAACAGGGATGTCTGGTAACCATGTTCTAAGCCAGAGGTGGGAAAATGTTTGCTTTCCACGGGCCACTCAAAGGTGGTTGTGGGGTGGGGACTGTCCACTCATCAACCACCTAATAGCGCAATGACATTCAATGACTGGGCACTTTGAAGTTCTTGTGTTGAGATTTCAAAGCGCCACACAAAGCTAATCTAACTTCCTTAGGGCCCGGGACCTCTAGGGTGTTGCTATTTATGGACCTTATTAATGTGTTTGCCCACCGTCTCTCCCTCAGCTGCTCTAAAGCTGAGGTGGAGGTGGCGAGTGGACTCCCTGCACGTTCAGTGCTGCTCAAGCAGAGTGCGGCTTGGGCACTGGGATTCTGGCACTGGGATTCCAGCGCACCCTGGCCTGCGGTGCTTTGTCCCACTCCCACAGGTGCCCAAGTGGCTAGCTATGCCACTGTAAGTCAGCTAGTCACTGTTCTTTTGTGTCTTAAGCATTTGCACTCTTTCCCCACCCCCACCCGCATTCAACCATTTTCCTTTTTCCTGCTTTTTATCAAGCAAACAATAATTTGACACATTACCATGATGGTCAGGTAATCAGAGGCTGCTACGTGAGTCGTTTGTCAGACGGCAATCAGAGCAATGTTTAGTTTAAATATTCAGGAAGTAGCAATCAAACATAAAATAGGCAAGGATAAAAGAGAATATGCATCAGGCAATTTCCAGCTAAACTTTCAGGTAGCAAAATGGGATTTCTCAATAACTGCAGCAATCTGGAAACAAAGTTTTCAATTGTAAGGTAACTCAGTGATGTTATGAAGTAGAAGACGCTCCCTGACATGTCATATATTTATTTCATGTTGTTTAGTTGGGAGTAATAGGGGATCAGCATAAAGGGAACCTTTATGCAGGCTGCTTCTTCTATCCATAATTCCATCACTCTGTCTCATCTGAAGATTTGAGAAGGGGTAGGAAATTGCCTTCTGCAACCTAAAGCGTAGAGGGAAAGCATATCCTTGGGGTAGAGTGGTGTGTATCTTTCAATAAGAAGAGGGATTATGGTGAGAAGTAAGGATGTTTGAGAAATATAGTTCTGTGAGTTCACATGTAAATGGACCTGACTTACACCTCCTGAATTAACATGAGGATTGGAACGTAATTCTGATTTGGATTTTGCACATCTCAGAATTTTGCCGTATGGTTCTCAGCTCAGGAAAAGTACCATGAAGGCATTTTGATCACAAAGTATACTATTTAAATATGTATTTTATCTCAGTACATATTTAGATAGTATACTGTGTGGTTAAACTATGCATATAAATATGATTTTTAGTGCACATTTGCAAACTAAAAATAAAAATTATGTGTCGAAGCAGGAAAGAATAGATGTGTGAATAAGCACATGCAAGATTTACCCTGACCAGAAAAAGACCAACCTGTCCATTCCTAGGTGAGAGGAAGCACAAGGTCCTTATGTGTCCAATCTGTGTAACACCTGAAGCCACTCAGAGTGAGTTTTTGTCTTGGGGATGGGTTCTAGCATAATAATAATAATAATAATAATAATAATAATAATAATAATAATTTTATTATTTATATGCCACCCATCTGACTGGGTTGTAATGACATTTCCTGCTACACCAACACTGGGATGCTAAGGGTTGTCCCATCAGTGCGAGGATTTCTCATTATGCAATGGAACATTATTTCCATCTCCTCTCTCCGTGTGTCTCCTAAATTTGTTCTGTGGGATTCCCCCAACCTTCTGGAGCAGAAGTTCTGGCAGCATAGGGTGCACCTGGGGGAATGAAGAGGAGGAGCGTTCCATTGTGCTAACAGTAATCCTTGCATGAGCACAATTATTTAGTTGACTTAGTCCCAAGTGGGTCATAAAATGCAAAACCAATGTTTTCCACAAAGGTTGCCGTGCTAATTGCATTAAGGGTTCATCAGGTCTCAGCAGCAAGAATGACTCAGATAACAAAAAAGAAACTCTTAACCCTGTCATTACATTAAACTAAGCTGAGGATTAATTTGCAAAACACACAAAGTGGAGAATCAATTCAAACATATTAGCTAGAAGTGGGAATATTAGGTTTCAGCAAGGTCATCATCATACATTCCACCTATCATAATTGTTTCAGGGTTGGATGACACCCACCCTTCTATAAAATCCCCATTTGGATGGAAAACGTAGTGTCTTTAAAAGACTTGTCATGTCACAGTCTTAAACAACACTGTGTAGGTGTAGGTCTTTAAGTGTAGGTCTTTAAGTGTGGGTCTTGCTGGCAATTATCTAGGCTTAGCAACCGACAGAGTGTTTGTTTGAGGAACAAAGAGGAAAACAAACCAAATTTACTGTAAACTGGAGTCTGGAATGAATGCAATTAGAGATGGTAGTCTCCTAAACACACTCTCACCTAGCTCATTCCCTCTACTCTCCATGCTCTTCCTTCTCCTTTCTCCAGTTGGCAGAATGACCCCTGTTCCCCACTGCCATTTATTGATTTTATGAATTGCTTCCAAGGAAACATCTCAGTTATTTAACACTAAAAGCACATATAAAGCCATTTCATGTGTGATAATAATTTCACGTCCAACACAGATACAGGTTAAGATTAAAAAACAAACAAACCTTCACTTAAGAAATAAGAGCCTGTTGGATCAAGTCAAAGGTCCAGCCACTTCAGCATCCTGTTCTCACAGTGGCTACCCAGATGCCTATGGCAAACCCACAAGTGGGACCTCACTTCTCCTGTGCTTTCTAGCAACATATTCAGAAGCATGCTGCCTCTGATAGAACACAGTCATCATGTCTCGTAGCCTCGGATAGTACGATCTTCCATAAATTTGCCCAATTCTATTTTAAAGCCATCTAAGTTAAAGGCCACCAATAAGTTGGTGGCCATCACTGCATCCTGAAGGAGCGAATTCCATTGACTATGCACTGCATGCAGAAATATTTCCTTTCACCTGTCCCAAGAAGCAGTGTTGGCCACCAACTTGGATGGCTTCAAAAGAGAATTAGACAAATCTGTGGAGGATAAGGCTGTCAGCAGCTACTAGCAATGATGGCTATGCTCTGTTGAAGTAAGTGTAGTGAAATCACAGCTAAGAAGCTTAAATCATATATATGACTGACAGTCTTCTTTGGGAATTAAGCCAATGTCCAGCCTTCAGCATTCAAAAACTTTACTTGCAGAAACTTGTAGTTATAGATGAATTAAAACATAATATATACAGTCACATGCTCATCCAAGCAGGGGCTTACAGCTTTTTCTTCTAACTTCCAAACAACTGTATTTTCCTCTCTTTCCAGAGCTAAGCACTCAACCTTCTGTATCTCAATTAGGCCATGTTTTGCAGCTGCAATGAGAGATTTCCACCTTTACCTTCTCCTGCAGCTTTGCTCTCTTTCTTTTGAGCAGAGAAGATGCGCTCCAGCACTCTATTCAACTTACCAGTGTTCACAGTGGATTCCGAAACACAGCCATCTTGTTTCACATAAAATGGAGTCTCTCCTTAGAAGCACCCAGTGTGACCAATGATAGCCAATCACATGAGAACTACCAGACAACTCTCTAGAATTCAGTTACCAACCAATCAAATTTAAGCACATAATAATCCATACAAGCATTTACAATTTCAGTGAATTAAATTAGTATACTTAACATGTTCTACCTCCACTGTCGAAGACAATATGCCTCTGAATACCAGTTGCTGGGAATCAAAAATAGGGAGAATGCTGCTGTATTCAAGTCCTGCTTTCAGTCTTCCCATAGACATCGGGCTGATCACAGTGAGAACAGTAGTCTGAACAAGATGGGCTATTGGCCTGATCCAGTAGACTGCTATCATGGTTTTATCTGGAAAGATTTAGGGATATGTTATAATTAGAAGGAGAGGTGCATGGCAAAAAGTACTCCTGCAAAACATCTTTCCCTGTCTTGGCAACTGCTTTTGCTACTGACTATAAAAATTTAGCATTGTCCTTTCATGAAGCAAGGCAAAGGAAGAGCAAAAGAAATGAAAGCAAATGATGGAAGGTATCAGCAGACTTTTTCTTCTTCTTAATGCCATAAATCTGACACTTGTTAATTACCTAGTTGAAGAGTGTTTAACAAATGGGTAGCCAACATTCTTAATGGGTGCTTGACAAAGGATTCTGAAATGCCATTGCAGGCAGTACAAAATCCCATAAGAATGAGTTTCCAGGAATAGGTCTAATAGCCGAGGAACAGTAACAGACACTTTCAATTCAATTAATCATCTAAACAATGGGAAGGAGGATGGGATGGGGGAAGAGAAGATAAAATAGAAGTTAATGTTTCAGCAGAAAACTGCCTGCTTAGAGCTACAACCCTGGAAGAGAGCCATTGTGAAATCTGCCAGCCATTGAGGCGAGGGTTTTTTTTCCCCCTCAAGAAAAGCAGCCAATTGGTGAATCATGTGACCTCATACTTCTCAGCAAATCTCATTAACTAAATTGACCCACAACAATAACAGAAGAGAGAGAGGAGTAACTGGCAGACTCCAAATTACATCCAAACCCAAGCAGGCAATGACAACAAAGATAAAAACTTGGGCAACCCACTCATTTGGGCTGAGCATTTGTAATCCTCGACAATTATGTAAACCTAATGTCAGATGATGGGGCAGCTATTCTTTACAGGGAGCTACAAATGCATTAAAAGAATTCAAAAAATGGATTGCTAAGAAATGCCATTCTTCATGTGAGGTTATCCAACGAAGCTGAACAATGGAAGTTCCAGGACAGACAAAATGAATAACTTCTTTTTTGAAGTGCATAGCTGAACAATGGCATTTGCTCCCTCCCACAAGACGTGATGACTACTGAGTTGGATGCCTTCAAAAGAGGATTAGGAAAAAATCATGGTGGAGAAGGCTGTTGATGATGGCTTCTAGCTACAATGGCTCTATTCTACTTCTACTGTCAGCAGCAATATGCCTCTGGATAGCAATTGCTGGGAATTATGTGGGGAGAAAGCTCTTGCACTCAGATCCTGCTTCGAGGCTTCCCCTAGGCATGTGTTTGACCACTGAGAGTATAGGGTGCTGGATTATCATTCTTAGTATTACAATTGATTACCCGACTTTCACCCTAAGATCCCAAGGTATGTTGCAACAATTAACTAGGTGGACCTTTGGTCCGATCCAAACATTATATTGTATGTTCTCCAGATGGTTCTTTTAAAGCCAAATTTTACTTGTGAAGTGTAAAGTGTTGGGGAGAGCTTGTTGAAGTCTCATGAGCTTCCCACCTTAAGCTCATGTCTTTGTTAGAATTCCTGCTCCGTGATTGCAGTCATGGGATTGTTGTTTTTCACATGACAGTATATGTTCTGACTCCACAGAGTGGGAAGTGACAGAGACAGGATGTTTTTGTTACTGTTTTCCGTGAAGTAGGACTATTGTCCTTTGTTTTTCTCTCTCTTTGCTGTCTGATGCTAGAGAGAGAGGGAGCCATGTTGCAGTGCTCTGTGTGTGTTTATATGTAAATAAAGTAGATTAGCCAAAATGCTGAGCTGCTGAGGTCTGCTATGCGAGCTGCAAGGACTCTGCGGATCCCTAAGTGTGCCGATGTCTGTTGGCATCAGTCACTGTGAAGTTTGGGCTGAAGAAATGTTTTGAAGCTCCTGAACGATCGACCAGGAGGGAGAAAACATGCCAGTTGGGCATGTGTCTCTGCCAGGGTCCTACTCAAGTGTAGGATGAGCTCCTGACAGTTTTATCCTCCATCACAACATGTGTCTCAGGTGCATCATGCTAGTGTTTGCAATAAGAATAAATGCAGCCATTGACTTAGATGGGAGGAATGTAAAGGAATGCATTCAGGGACATTCTTTGGGCACAGGGATAATTCTCTTCCTTGGCTCTTTTGACCTCAGTTGTTAATAATCCAGCCTGCTCCTGATTCTGCAGAGTCTCATCTTTACATAATCTACTTTAGCTTATTAAATTCATTGACCACAACCAGCAGAAATCCGGGAATGCTTTATAGAACAAGAAGTGAAATAGAATAAAGAAAATACAACTCTTGGTTCAGTTTCTTCAGGGAAAGAAAAGATTAAACTGTTGAGAGCTGACTTTTTGTTAACTGGTAAAATCGTCTGCTTCAACCACAGCCCCAGTCATCCCCCACTGATGTGATTGCTACAGAGCAAACTGCTCACTTCTCCAGGATCATCTCAGCTCCCAGGCCCATCCCAGGTGACAATTATTTCAGGAAAGAAAGTTGGGCTATTCAAGGTAGAGGAGGGCTTTATTCCCTATGTCTGATCCAAGTAACACGCAGGGTCATTTTACATCATTATGAATGTTGCTCCCCGAAAATAACTCAATCAAAGGATTGGCTATTTAATTTCACACAATTAATAGCATCATGTGCATTTTGGACATGGAGGGTTTCCCCCGCTGAAAGGAAGGGTGCCTGTACTTGTGTTCTTTAGTAATTGGGTGTCTGGAGGCCTTGGACTCATTACAGTGGGATTGAAGACACAACACTCCATCATTCTTCCATTGCGTCTACTAGAAAGCATAATATCAAAGCCTTTTGCTACCTAGGGAAAAGGAAGGCACTTGAGAATTCAGAGCTCTGCCTTTGTTTCTTATAAGATCAGTTTACAACCGAAGGTGCCTCATTTTATATCAGCTGTAACCAGTATACTTTCTTTTTATATATATATATAAAACCCCCACCAAACAATGCAGGAATAAAATCTTGAGGCTGAAGTCTGTCTCGGTGAAAAACTGGTGGTGGATGTTGTAGCAGAAGCATCTGATACACCCAGCTCAATCTCATACTTGCTTGAAAGGGAACCTGAAGGACAAAGAAACAAGGAAAACATTACAAAGCTACTTCGCTTCTTTAGTTTCACACTCATGTTGTTTTCCAGTCTGCAAAACAAAATCAAAAGGAAGGAATGTGTCTCGTTTAGAATGCGGCAGTGAAGGGTGAATCATTTTTTATTTTTTTTACTTAGCGGGAAACCTATAGATCAGCGGTAGGGCATCTGCCTTGCATGTAGGTTTGATCCCCAATATATCAAGGTGGATAGAGGTCCCCATCTGAAACCCTGGAGAGCTTCTGTGAGTTTGTTGTTGTTGTTTAGTCATTTAGTCATGTCCGACTCTTTGTGACCCCATGGACCAGAGCACGCCAGGCACTCCTGTCTTCCACTGCCTACCGCAGTTTGGTCAAACTCATGCTGGTAGCTTCGAGAACACTATCCACCCATCTCGTCCTCTGTCATCCCCTTCTCCTTGTGCCCTCAATCTTTCCCAACATCAGCATCTTTTCCAGGAAGTCTTCTCTTCTCATGAGGTGGCCAAAGTATTGGAGCCTCAGCTTCAGGATCTGTCCTTCCAGTGAGCACTCAGGGCTGATTTCCTTCAGAATGGAGAGGTTTGATCTTCTTGCAATCCATGGGACTCTCAAGAGTCTCCTCCAGCACCATAATTCAAAAGCATCAATTCTTCAGCGATCAGCCTTCTTTATGGTCCAGCTCTCACTTCCATACATCACTAGTGGGAAAACCAGAACTTTAACTATACGGACCTTTGTTGGCAAGGTGATGTCTCTGCTTTTTAAGATGCTGTCTAGGTTTGTCATTGCTTTTCTCCAAGAAGGAGGTGTCTTTTAATTTCGTGGCTGCTGTCACCATCTGCAGTGATCATGGAGCCCAAGAAAGTAAAATCTCTTACTGCCTCCATTTCTTCCCCTTCTATTTGCCAGGAGGTAATGGGCCCAGTGGCCATGATCTTCGTTTTTTTAGCATGGACATTTCTGAGCTAGCTGGCCCAATGGTCTGACTCAGCTTCCTATGAATGCTATAAGGCAGCTTACCATTGACAGACAAAGAAAAAAGATGGGGCAAAGGAGAGCAATTTGGCAGGAAAGGGGAGGTAGGTGGGGAAATTTTTAATTTATCTTAAAAACCATTGTAAACAGTTAAAATTGTTAGTAGGATTTGAATAACACTTGTAGTTTAATGGTGAATTTTGGATATAATGGAGATGTAAAAGATATGGATTATTATAAAAGATGCAGGAGGAAATGATTAACAATAGGACCCACAAAGGGGAGAAGGGAAGTCCAGGAGGTTCTTTGGAATCTTGTTTTTATGTTGTATGTTGGCTATGTGATTGTAAAATTCAAATTTGGAAAACCAAATAAATAAATTTATTGGGAAAGGAGAGGTGGAGCTCTTGGTGAAAGAATAGCTTGTTTCTCAATGAACACTAGTTCACAATACTTGTTGGGTTGTGTCCTTCTCTTTCATAAGAACACAGCGACACCTCCCAGCAATACCTCACATGTAAGGAAGAGAGGATGTTCCCCATCTTGTTCCTTGACCATTCCATGGCTTTGCATTCCATTCTGGTCCAAACTGGAGAAACTTGCAGGCTTCACATAGGGTCACTGTGAGAAGAGGATGCTGAGCTAGATGAAGCCCTGAGCTTGATCCAACAGGGCTCTTCTCACTGTCCTGATGTAAGAAGTAATTCTAAAATCAGAGCAAGTACAGGTTGCTATGGACTTTGGTCCATCTTCATCTCTCTCATGTCCTTCACCTTAGATGCACATGTAAACATTGACTGATGTGATCATATAGATGATTGCCTCATGATTATTTTCATGCAGTTTTTTATTGACGGGCACACCTGCTCCTGCACATTAGTAAAACAACACAACAATGAATCATGATACAGAGTATCTCTATCTATCTATCTATCTCTATCTCTATCTCTATCTCTATCTCTATCTCTATCATCTCTATCTATCTCTACTATCATCATCTCTCTATGCAAACACCAGCATGACATTTGATTATTATTTTTTGTATGTTGTTTTAGCACTGCATACAACAATACAAGCACTGCTGTAAAACACTACTGAAAAAGAATTTTGGTCCAGTTTTGCCTGCAATCAAATCAAGATGGTTTGCTCCCCCCCCCCCCGAGCGGGGGGAAATATACACACCAAAAAATGGTTCTCTTCTATAGTTTCCCAGTTTTATTCCTCTGTCTGCAAAGTGAAATCAAAAGGAGGTAAGCTAGTAATACAGAGGGCAGAAAAGTTATGAAATAAATGAAAGAATGGAAAGCAGCAGCAGACTTCACATGCACAGTGATTTGTAAAAGATGAAGAAGTACAAAGGCGCATTCTTCATGCATCATCAATTCCACTTCAGAAACAAGATCATTTTTTTTGGGGGGGGGATTCCAAAACCTGGAGAGATATTCCAATGAATAGAATTTCAGGAGCTAATTTGGACCATCCTTTTGCTTCAATGCTCTAACTAAATCTGCAGCAAATCGCCATCAACACATCTCCATTTACAGTTTTAATAGAGGGCTTATCTACATTTACTTTTCCTCCAGATTTTTCAGGCACAGTCCATGCTTTAATGTGTGTCTGAGTGCCCCCACTTCTTCTTCTTTTTGCTCTGAAGCTTTTCCCTCAAACACCCACTCTTTAAATTGAATTGAGGCAAACAGCAATCTTCAGGAAAATTAAATTGCCATTTGCTCTGATTCAGCTTTAAAGAGCAGGTTTTCACAGTGATACTCCAGAGCAAAGAAACACCAGTGTGCTTGAACACAGAACTTTAAACCACAGGCCTATGCCTGGAAAAAGTGGGGTAAGAGATAAGTGTGGATGAGCCCAGAAAAACAAATAACAGAGTGGCTATTGCATTTCCTGTATTAACAAAGTACCTTGCTATTCATTCTCTCCTACATTTTCAGTATTTCAATGCAAGAAATAAATAACAGCAAAGACTCAGCTCAGAGAAGGTACAAAAGCTGGTCTCTTTAAAACAACTGAGAGGAACAGATTAATTTATTTTTTACCTTGCTGAGAGATGAGTACTGTTTTCTCCTGCCTGTCCTCCTTTTACCTCTTTGAATGTTTTATCAATAAAAGCCACCCTGAGGAAACAAAGGTAAAATTGAATTACCTTGGATTAAATGGATTAATTTCTCAAGCAGAGTAAAGGACTGATGGGAGGGTGGTAACGATGAATATTTGTTCTCCAGGGAATTGGATTTAGTACTCTGCATCACTGCAAATACATACAGAGTGACTCCATTATAAAGCCCCTTAATGGTGAACAGTTGTCCTTTGGAAAGTTCAAGTTCCATGTGCATTTCTTTGGTTGAGCAGCAAGGTGGTTGCCTAGATCAGCCTCCTCCAACCTGGTGCCTCCTAGTAGTTTTGGACTACAACTCCCATCAACCCCAGCCAGCACGGTCAGGGATGATATGACTTATAGTCCAGCAACATCTGGGGCACAGCGTTGAAGAATGCGTAGGTAGAGAACCGATGATGAAACATCCTGAGATAGTTTGAAGGTTGCATATTTGGTACGTGTTAAAACAGGATGGGTTTTATTGTGGGTGGCTGGTTTTCTTATGTGAAAATGTTGCAGTGTTCTACCATGTTGAACCTTATGGTTGTGAATAAGTCCAAATAGAAGCTGCCCCCCAATATAGGCCATGGCCCACACCCCTCAAATTAGGTGTGCTGGTCCCGGGGGCTAACCAAGAGGCAAGGTCCGAGTCCAGTCCGAGGTCGATGGTGCGGTATGGAGGCTATCCGTCAAAGCTGTAGCTGGGTCCAAGGCGGGGGGTCGGGTGGGGTCAGGAACTCTGGCAGAAGAGCAGGACAAGGTGCAGGCAGGAATAGGCTAGCAACAACGTTGCTCCCGCAACCTGGGACTGGGGTTGACTGGCTTTTATCTGCCCTGGGGCATAGGGCGGCCCCGGTCCACAGGTTACTCGCCTCTCCTGGCCTGGAGGCGAGCACTCCTCCTGCAGGAACTTAGTTCCCTCCGCCTCTCTGCCCTGAGCCTCTGCAGCTCAGGAGAGGCTGGAGGGTTACCGGACCCATAGGAAACCTCCTCTTCCCCTGACGGGGCTGAGAGTGGAGCACCTGCAGGCAATGGGTCCTCCATCACCTCAGGGGCCAGAGCAGACTCAGCTGGTGTCTGCACCTGAGGATCCAGCACAGGTGAGGACACTTCAGGCTCAGGCCCCAGCCCCGGCTCAGCTGGTTCTGGAGGCAGGGAATCCTGTGCAGGCTGGGATTCCTCACATTAAGCCTCTGAGTCCGAATCCCAGGCCATCACACCAGGTCTATTTGAAAGGTGGGTGTAATACCATAGCTCTACCATGCATGACTTCTAAACTTATCTCATCTCATTGCAACTAGGGCCACCACTGAGAAGGGCAGATGATCTTTTCACAAAATCTGCCCAAGCATATTGAAGTTCCACATGGTTCCAGAGGTCTCCCAAGTTCAGGTTTTGTACAAGCCAGCTCTTTGTAGGGGGTGTTATGTGGCCGATACCGGTATTCAGACCAATATGGTATTATTACATTTCGGTCCATACATGGGTTCTTTATGTGAGGGACACATAGCTACTTACCTTTCTTCAAATGTGCACTTAAAATGTTTTCTTGCATAAGGCTCCACAAATATAGGCATGTGCATAAAGGGTCAATTTGGTCCATCTCTATCACCTCATTTTCCAGGGGAAATAGATACACAAATCAGGGCTTTGTGCACATGGCTAAACATGTGGAACCATTGTAGATGTGCAGCATGGTGGAGGCAGACTTTATGTATTTATTCAATGGAATCTGTACAGTGGTACCTCGGGTTAAGAACTTAATTCGTTCTGGAGGTCCGTTCTTAACCTGAAACTCTTCTTAACCTGAGGGAGCACTTTAGCTAATGGGGCCTCCTGCTGCCGCCTCACGATTTCTGATCTCATCCTGAAGCAAAGTTCTTAACCCGAGGTACTATTTCTGGGTTAGCAGAGTCTGTAACCTGAAGCATCTGTAACTGAGGTACCGCTGTATACCACTTATATGTAAAAAACCCCAAAAAAACCCCACTTGGAGGTTTTCGTGTGATATGCTTTAAAACCAGTGATACAAGTCGGAGTTACAAATAAAGTCACCAGGTTGGAGAAGGGTGGGTAAAATCCTCAGCTCTTGTGACACTGCCACTCAGAATTCAAAATTTCTGCAAATTGTGGGTGGTCCCAAACGTTGATCTGTTGCTACCAGACACCAAGTAGTGGCTGGGCCTGTCTTCTCTCCTGGTGAGGGCCTGATCGGTAACTCATAAAACCACAATTAGATCCCTTTTGAATCAAACCAAAGGCCAATGCTTTAACAAGGGGTGGGTGGGTAAACTAAACTTAGCATCCATGTTTCAGTGTGTGCTAGTATTCTATTTCCAACATTGTACAATGTACATGCCACTGTCAGTTGGCATTTGGAAACATATGGCTGCAACACCATGCACTATGCTACAAGTTTCTTATCTAGTGTTGTGTGACAAATAATTCTGAACAGCTTGTCAACGATGAGAAGTTGAAGCTTTTTTTTGGGGGGGGTTGCTTTTTTTTTGCTTAGATGCCTTGACAGTGCTTGTATTAAACAGCCAAAGCCCTACACTCCATTAAGTTTTTGTAAAATGAACTGCCTGTAACTTGTGGTTTCCCTGATAGTGGCAGCAGTGGCGGCAGTTGCAGGCTAATCCTCCGCAGTTGGTTGGTTTGGTTTAGTGAGAGCCTTCAGTCGTACGACAGGTAGCAGATCTTTCTCAACAGCTAGCGCTGGGACTTCAGGGCTAAAAATTAACTGAGATAAGCAAGAAGTAATTTTCCTAGAACAGGGTTGTTTTTTCAGAACAGCAGTGAACTCTAAACTGGATTATTAAATAGAAAGGCCGCAGTGGGCTTAGTTTGGGTAATAGATCTTCCCCAGTGGAGCATAATCCATCAGATTATACCAACAGCAAACTCATCCACTGACTGAGGTTCCTCATGTAGCCAAAAGAGCACCATCAATGCTCAAGAGATAGGAATCAGCAGGCCTGAAGGAACTCCAAGTTTGGCAGAAGCACCTGGAGGGTGCAGTGTGGTGGGGAAAAATACAGAATCGCCCTCCTGACATCAGCATCAGAACGGGGCTGGGTCAGGACAGGGTAGCACTGATGTAGCAGCAGCACAGATTTATCAGTGGAGCCGATGCAGTACAGCTGCCCATCTATCTACACAAGCCTGACCTTGCCATCAGCTCACCCTGCCCCATCCCCATCAGTGGAAACATTAGGGGCGGCCAACATTGGCTGATTGCCGAAGAATTGATGCTGTTGAATTATGGTGCTGGAGGAGACTCTTGAGAGTCCCATGGACTGCAATAAGATCAAACCTCTCCATTCTGAAGGAAATCAGCCCTGAGTGCTCACTGGAAGGACAGATCGTGAAGCTGAGGCTCCAAGACTTTGGCCACCTCGTGAGAAGAGAAGACTCCCTGGAAAAGACCCTGATGTTGGGAAAGATTGAGGACACGAGGAGAAGGGGATGACAGAGGACGAGGTGGTCGGACAGTTTTCTCGAACATGAGTTTGACCAAACTGTGGTAGGCAGTGGAAAACAGGAGTGCCTGGCATGCTCTGATCCATGGGGTCACGAAGAGTCAGACACGACTAAATGACTAAACAACAACAACATTGGCTTCCAAGTTCATTTCTGGGCCAAATTCAAGGTGCTCACATTAAAGCCCTAAATGACTTGAGCCCCAAATATCTGAAAGATTGCCTCCTTAACTACAGACCATCCCAGGACCACCAGAGTCAGCCCTCTAGGTAGTTCCACCTCACTACGAATTTTGAGAGCCCAGCAGAGAGCATTCTCTGAGGCAGAACCCAAGTTGTGGAATCCCCTCCCTGCAGAGGTGTGTTTGGCTTCTTAACTCTGCAGCTTTTGGCAAATGCTGAAGAAATAGCTCTTTATCCTGGCCTTTGACACCTGAGATGTGTTTTTTCAGAGTCCACTCTATTCCTGTTTTAATTGTATTTAAATTGGAATTTTAAATTGTTGTAATCTGCCCTAGGATCTGAGTTCTGGTGGGTTCTGGCTGGAAAAAAAAACTCTGGACATAACTTGTAAGGAAACTGCAGCAATTTAGGTATAATATGCAGCGGGATAAGGGGAAACAAGGAAACCCTGGAGGGGTGGATGGGAAGTTTACATTGGTTAAAAATATTGGGGGGAACCATATATGTAATTAACTTTTGAAAATCAAAATAAAATTGTAAAAAAAAAGAAAACTGTAGCAATTTACTTGAGTGTAGTTTGTTCTACAAATGGTGCATTATAAATGTGGAATGAGAGTAACCTGTCATGGATTTCCCCATGGTTTTCCCCAGGCCTACAGCTCCCTTCATCCCTGACTACCCATTCTTCCTGGGGCTGATGGGAGTTGGAGTCCAACAACAGCTGGGGAAAAGTTGACTACAGCTGAACATCCTCATAGTCTACTTTGTGTCCATCTTCTACTTTTCTTCTCCGCAGAGAATTCTGACAAGACATTCATAGCCTAGGAAATACGAAATAACAATAACATGGAGAGTATATTTTACTCATTGGTATGTTTATTATACCATATTTTACAAACTTCAAAGAGTTTCTTCCTTCAGGATGTCAGGTCTTCTGTTGCTGCCCAGTTTCCATGGAAACATGGAAGTGGTAGCTGTGCCCACAGCTGAAGCAGAACTTTGTTTTCTAAAAATATTCTAGGCAAATCTGTAGATTCTGTTTAAAATATTAAGTACTGAACATTAAATTCCTAGCATTTTTTTTAAACGCAAAAAATCTCTGAGCTGAGATGTAAAGACTGTTAGTCTGTTGCAACAACAACAAGAAGAAATCTGCTAGCAGTTCAAAGACCTACAAATTAATTACACTTTCCCTCCCTAGAGATGTATATTTCATTTCTTTTGTCTCCAAAGTAGGTGGCCGAGGCTGTGCTTTCCTACAAGAGGCCAAGATGGTCACCACCTCGGGTGACTTTAAAAGAGGATTAGACATATTATTGAAAGAGAGGGCTATCATAAGCTACTAACCAGAATGGCTACATTCTACTTCCACTGTTGGAAGGTTCTCAGTGCTAGTTGCTGGGAATCGCAGGTGGGCAGAGTGCTGTTGTGCTCAGGTCCTGCTTGCTGGCTTCCCATAGGCATCTGGTTGACCACTGTGAGAACAGGATGCCTTACTAAATGGACCACTGGACTGATCCATCAGGACATTCTTATGTGTTTCACTTGGTTGTTGTTGTTGCAAGGTGGAGTTCATTTGGATTCATTTTAGTAAATGCTGCACTTAATGAACAAGGCTGTTTTACATGGATTTTGCCTTTTGGTCCATCTAGCAGAATTGATGCTTTTGAATTATGGTGCTGGAGGAGACTCTTGTGAGTCCCATGGACTGCAAGAAGATCAAACCTATCCATTCTTAAGGAAATCAGCCCTGAGTGCTCACTGCAAGGGCAGATCCTGAAGCTGAAGCTCCAATACTTTGGCCACCTCATGAGAAGACCCTGATGTTGGGAAAGATGGAGGGCACAAGGAGAAGGGGACGACAGAGGTTGGAGAAGGGGACGAGATGGTTGGACAGTGTTCTCGAAGCTACCAGCATGAGTCTGACCAAACTGCGGGAGGCAGTGGAAGACAGGAGTGCCTGGCGTGCTCTGGTCCATGGGGTCATGAAGAGTTGGACATGACTAAACGACTAAACAACAACAACAACAAGCATCACTGCAGTGACTGGGAGAGGGTCTCTTGGTTTTCAGACATAGGGCATTCCTAGTCCTACTTGGAGATGCCCGAGATTGAACCCAGGAATTCTGCATGCAAGACACAGTTTCTCTACCACTGAGCTACGAACCTTCCTGTGACTTTCTACTATCTACTAGGCTTGTAGAAAGATAGCATTAAAAATGAAGACGAGCCCACTACCCTGTGAAGTAGAGAAGGCATGTGCAAGAGTGACCTGAGAATTGGGCTCTTGCGGATCCTAAATTACTTAGGTGCTCTTGATATTTTTACATGAAGTCTCATAAATTAACTCATTAATCAAGCATTAATGGCCTAGTCAAGGCAGATGTTGAATCCAGCTGCTAAACATGGTTTTAATGGGCTTTCTCTCACTTTTTTTACAGAGCCAATTAATTCCAGTATGATGTTATACTCTTAAGGGGGGAGAAATGTATAGTGTTTGTCAGCCAGGGAAGACAACAGAAGCAATTTCTGAACAAGTATTATTTAATGACTTAAGGTTAGTTAGATTGCCCATTAATTCTCGCATTATTCTCAGAGAACAGGAACGTAAGTCCTTGGAGCCGGCCTACCAGGCAACCCTCATGCATAAGCGTGGTTTGTGTATGAGATCATCACAATTTTGTTACCAACTTACTCTATGGAATTCACACTCATTCCTAAGCATTCACTGTAAGCTGTTCAACATATTCCCAAGTAGTCATGAGGCTTACTGCCTTGAGCATGCAATGTAACAGTTCATACTGAAATGCAGTTGTTGACAGCATGGCGGGGTGGTGGTACTCACCTGATCTCCTGACAGCAGAGTCACAGCTGCTTACTGGAAGATAGAGGGGAGAGGTGTTGGGGAGATTGGCATGGTGCAAACACACCAGCAGGAACACTGAATTGGCTCCGCTGGTGTGTTTGAGCCACATCAACCTCACCACTGCCTCACCCCTTCTCCTCTCTCTCCTGATTAGCAGAAGCAGCAACTCAGATGTTGGGAGGTCAGGGAAGTGCGGATGCCCCACTATGTTGTTCGCTGAAGCTGAAATGCCTTTACTTTCCCTCAGGCTTCTTACATATGCTTTGTCTGCTCTGAAGAACTCTGTCCAGAAATTAATAGGCCTTATAAGGACTAGAGAACATGGTGAAGAACTTATGGTGAGTAAATGGCTTTCAGTAACTTTGTAATTCCAAATATTCCACAAAGGCATATAACATTTGGGTCAAATAACACGGTGCAGAGAGCTCACTTTAAAGCAAACATTGTTTCATAGCTTAGTTGATCGCTCCACTGTTGGGATTCTGTTACTTGATGAACCAGTGTTGTTGTTGTTGCTGCTGTTTTTAAAAACTAAACCAATGGTTTTATTTGCAAGTTTTGTTAAAAATAATAAAAGGTAAAGGTAAAGGGACCCCTGACCATTAGGTCCAGTCATGACCGACTCGGGTTGCAGCGCTCATCTCGATTATTGGCCGAGGGAGCCGGCGTACAGCTTCCGGTCATGTGGCCAGCATGACTAAGCCGCTTCTGGCAAACCAGAGCAGCACACGGAAACGCCGTTTACCTTCCCACCGGTGCGGTACCTATTTATCTACTCGCACTTTGACATGCTTTTGAACTGCTAGATTGGCAGGAGCAGCGACCGAACAACGGGAGCTCACCCTGTCACAGGGATTCGAACCACCAACCTTCTGATCAGCAAGTCCTAGGCTCTGTGGGTTAACCCACAGTGCCACCCGCGTCCCTTGTTAAAAATAATAATTACCAGCAAAATGCTTGTTTCCTCCTCCCTTCTGGCGTAGCTAAATATGCAATATGGTGCCCACATCCACATTTTTGTTTGTGTGCTGTGAAGTGTTAGGGAGAATTACAGCTCAGTGGTAAGGGACATGCTTTGAATGTAAAAGTCCCAAGTTCAATGCCTGGCATCTCCAGATAGGGCTAGGGGAAAAAAAAAAAACCATAAGCCTGAAACCCTGGAGAACTTGCTGCCAATCCTGATTTGTTTGCAAGGTTTTTATACACCATCCAGTTAATCCCACATTTTTTCCAGTGCATTTCCCTAGCACTTTGCTAACCACAAAAGGTCTGGTTTGGTTGTTGCGGTTGTTTTAAAAAAGTGGTGTGTTGCGCTACGGCAGTGGTTCCCAAAGGGTGTGGCATACCACACTGATGTGGCAGGAGAGGATGGCAAGTGTGGCGGGAATAATCAAGACCAATCAATATGATATTTTGGGAATCATTCATGTCTTTATATACCTGCATTGTTTAATACTTTCTGGATGTCCCATGATCATGTTATAAATGTAGTTGTGTTCTGTTAGCAGTTTGTTTTTGTATTTCTCGTCCATAAAAAAGTTCAGTGTGGCGTGCACAAATTTTTATTCTGAAAGTGTGACCCAGAGAAAAAAGTTTGAGAACCTCCGTGCTAGGGTAACTAAGCCCTTTGATTCACATTGTTATTATTTAACCACCCTTCACCCACAAAGTCCCGAGGTGTGTTGTACCGATTTAAAATGCAGTGTTAAAACAGCTAAAGCGAATTACAATCACAAGGATATGTTGAGTCTTAAAAATATACATCTCCACTGCCAAAGGCCAGGGTAAAGAGGTACATCTTTAGCATATGACAAGAATTGCATAGTTACTGTCAGGGCTGCCTCAAGTCTCAGCTCACAAAAGACCAACGCCAATGTCTTCTTATATACAAAAGTGTTTATTGCAGTTCATTGTTTGCTCGACATCCTAGGCGCGCAGCCCTACGTCTGCTACGCTTAGACCGCTGAAGTCCCCTCTGAATCCGTCCCTCCCCTACACCAGTTTAAGATGCTTGTGCTGCTCCACCTCTTTCTCTCTTTCCTTTTCCGCAGGGTCCTTCTGCCCGCTGGGGTTTCGCCCCTCCTGGATTCCTCTGACGCGGAATCAGACTGCTCTTGCCCCTGCTGCGGGCTTTAGGACCTGGCCCCTCCTCCGGGCTCCCTGTACTTCCGCGCGCCTCTACATTTGAACGTGGCGCGCGCGCCCAGCCTCTAACCTTCCTTTCAACAGCTACACTACTCCCTTCACTGCTCCCCTCCCCTTCCGGGAGGATGGCTTGCTCCGACCTCCCTCCTTTCTCTGCTGCCGGAGCCTCTTCCCCTGAGGAAGCACTCTGGCGGGGAGGCTGGTCCTGACACCCAGCTGCCGCTTTGGGATGCCCAGCTGGCCCCCTGCTCCTGACACGTCCCCCCTGGGGCTCCCCTGGGCTTGACCACCGGCGCCCCCTTCTGGGAATCCTCTGATTCGCTGGAAAGACTCATGGAATCTCTTGAGTCATTGTCTTCCTCTTCCTCGCTGTCCTGGGATTCATCCCCATCGCTCTCCATCTCCTGCCTACCCTGTGCCTCTGCCCCTGAACCCCTGACAGTTACATACCCTCCAACATTTATCCAATGAAAATAGGGGTGTTAATAATAATAATAATAATGATACCCCACCCATCTTCCAACATATATAAAAACATAATAAAACATTAAACTTTTTTTTAAAAAAAAAATGTATTCAGGTGTCTTCAGAAGGTTGTATAGTTACTTATCTCTTTGGGTTGCACAACTCCATATCCTTTGATGGAAATAGGGACGTCCTTCCATACCCTCCAACATTTCTCCAATGAAAATAGGGACGTCCTTGGGGAGACTGAAGGTACATTCTTTCACCTTTGTTGGACATGCCCAAAGATTAAGGCATTCTGGGAGATGATTTATAATGAAATGAAAAAGGTATTTAAATATACCTTTCTGAAGAAACCAGAGGCCTTTCTCCTGGGTATGGTCGGCCAATTGGTGCCAAAGAAGGATAGAACTTTTTTCATGTATGCCACAACAGCAGCAAGAATACTCATCGCAAAGCACTGGAAGACACAAGATCTACCCACTAGGGAAGAATGGCAGATGAAGCTGATGGACTACATGGAACTGGCGGAAATGACTGGCAGAATTCGAGACCAGGGAGAAGAGTTGGTGGAAGAGGATTGGAAAAAATTTAAAGTATATCTACAAAAATATAGCAAAATTAGTGAATGTTAGAAGGATGTTGCAATGAAGTTACATGGTTTTAGCAGAAATGTTATTAAGAACTATGTAAAAATGGGCTGTTAATGGGTCAAAGGGTAAAATTTAAGGTCAGATCGGGTTAAGGTAATTTATAGAACAAAAATTGAGAAAGAGGGAAAGGATTTCTTGAAACAGCTAAATTGAATTAGAATACAAAAAAGGGAGGTGCGAGGAGGTCGATGAAACAAGTAAATGAAAGATAAGGATATGGAAATACTGGATGTGTTTTCTTAAATGTTTTTGTTTTTAAATGTTTTTGTTTTTTTCCCCTAATTGTTGTGCTGTATTGTTTTTTTTTTGTTTTTTATAGTTTTTTGATGTATTGTATTGTAACTTTTTAATCTCTCTTTTTTTTCTTTTTTTTCTGTAATTGTTAAACTTTTAATAAATATCATTTATAAAAAAAAAATGAAAATAGGGACGTCCTAAGGAAAAGCGGGATCAAATCAGAAACTGGGGCGACTTCTGTAAATTCTGGACTATCCCTGGAAAGTAGGGACACTTGAAAGGTCCGTAGCTATTCTGCCAGATGCTCCTCTCCTGCGCTACCACTGTCTAACCTTCTGAGGGTGCTATGATTACAAGGAGAGTCCCCTATACTGGTATTAATACCTAAGTTCTGTAGTGAGAAAGGTGGTCTTTCAGATATTGGAGGCCTACATTGTTTTACTGTGCAAACCTCCGGCATGAGCTTTGATCCATCCTGCAGAATAGTGAGCGCCGAAGGCAACCATAGTAAACAGATGACAGCAACAGATAGCAAGCAGAGAAAGCTGAACGGGATTGTGGCCTTTCACTTATGCAAGCTGGACAATTTTGTGAGGATAGAACTCATTCAGGAGCCTGTGGGACTTTGGGCGGACAGAGCAACTTAATTAGGTATTCATATTAAGGCAACAATGGATGAAAATAAAATGGAAAGAATTACACTTTTCTCCCTATGGAGCAGTCTAGTAAAACCGTTGAATTGTATAGGTCTTTGATTAGCCTTAATGGCCCATTACTGGCTCGGGAAGGGAGGCATAATCGCAAATACACTGAACTGAACAGGTCTGATCAAAGGGCAAGAACACAGCAAAAGATTGTTAAATGAATCTGCATTTACATTTCTGATGCGGAAGATCAAAGGCAAAGGCAAAGATTACGGGAACCTGTCAGGCTTGCAGGCTTTCGGGCTGAAATAAGCCAAACAGAGCAGGCCAAAAGCTCCGCTACAGCTCCACAGAGCTGAGCTGCAGACATTAATAGCAGCCTAATTATAAGTCCATTTTCACCACATGGGCATATTCAAACGAAATGTGCTTGCTGTATGAAATGGGCTTGGACCAAGTTGCCTGACGGTGGTTCTTTCCTTTGGCTTCTGATGTGAGAATCAGGCCTGTTGTGCATTGCAGAGGGCATGGAGCAGAAGATTCTTGGGGTCCCGTCCAACCCTACAGTTCTAAGTGAGAGGAATAGCATGTGAATGGCTTGTGGGTGTCAGTGTGTCACTGTGGCTTTTGCCCTCCTAGGTGTGTGACATCATACTGGGCTCATAAGGAAAGGGTTAACTAATTGTAAAATGACTAACCTATAGGAACCCAAGGGGAGAAGTAAGAGTTAGAGTTAGAGTTGTTAAGAAGTCAGTCTGGAGTTAGAGAAGAGAGAGGAAGGATAAGTCTGTGGGTTGGGCTAGTCTGATGTGAGAGAGTGAGAGAATCTGTTAAGAGGAGTCAGTCAAACAGTTGAGATAATCAGTCAGAAGGTATTAGGAAGGTATAGGCCGGTAAAGAAACTAAGGTTAAGAAACTGACAAGAAAATTATCTGAGAAACCATTAACTTGTTAATGCTTATAAAATAAACTTGTTTATTTGGTTTAATTTTAACAACTGTCTGGACTCAGTGTGTACCCGAGAGTAACGGGTTGGTGGCAGCGGGGAAGCAAGCACAGTGGTGGCACAGGGATCAACAGACCGCCAAACGTCCGGGGACCACAACCCATGAGGGATTGTTTTATCTTCCTATTCACTTGCTATTTTCACTAGCCTAACCACTCCTCACTCAACATACTCACATTTCCCCCTCTTTTGCTCTCAGGATTGGAGAAGGACAGGGGTGGAGCAAGGGGGTGCAGTAGGGGCGGGTAGCCCCGGGTGTCACCACTGGGGGGTGACAAAATGCCAGGGGGCACTCACCCCAGGGCCTGCAGCACGCTCAAGCCACGCGCCTCTCCTGGGAGTGACGCGGTGGCTTGGGCACATACAGTCTCCACGCTGCCCCAAACAGTCTGCCCCCTGCCTCCCCCTCAGCTGTAAGGCGGCTGAGTGGAAGGAGGCAGGCAGACTCCTTAGAGGCCCTGTGGAACATTCTGCGCTGGCTCGCTCCACCCCACCCCCGGACTGGTGCTCGATCAGCTTGCTGTGCCACTGGAGAAGGGAACTCCAGTGGGAAATTGGAGAGGGGTGTCACTACTGAAGAAACCCTGTCCCATGTGCCCACAAGTTTAATAATGGACCCATAAGCAGGGCCTCTGAAGCTGATCACAAGGTCTGGGAACTTTGTATTGGTGCGAGTCAACTTTCAAGTACAGTGGTACCTCAGGTTACATACGCTTCAGGTTACAGTCTCCGCTAACCCAGAAATAGTGCTTCAGGTTAAGAACTTTGCTTCAGGATGAGAACAGAAATCGTGCTCCGGCGGCACGGCGGCAGCAGGAGGCCCCATTGGCTAAAGTGGTGCTTCAGGTTAAGAACAGTTTCAGGTTAAGAACGGACCTCCAGAACGAATTAAGTATTTAACCCGAGGTACCACTGTAACTGGCGTGCTCTGGTCCATGGGGTCACAAAGAGTCGGACACGACTAAACGACTAAACAGCAACAACAACCACTGTAACTTGGTCCCAAGTCATCAAGGGCTTTAAAAGTCATAACCAATAGTTTCAATCGTGCATGGGAATGAACTGGCAACCAGTGTGACTGATACAATATTGGAGCAACGTGCTCTGAGTGCCTCTCCGCAACTTCCGCATGAGCAGCCGCATTTTTCAAGAGCTGAAGGTTCCAAACCATCTTCAAAGGCATTCTCGCCCAGAACACATTGCCATAGTCTCTTTAGGTTGTCACTAGCGCCTGGGTAGCTGTTCAAAGATCCAGTGCAGCAAGACTGGGCCACAGCTGTGTGCTGGTGGAAGCTTTTAAAAGGCACTGCAGCTGCATTTTAGCAGCTGCATCATGCTTAATTGAAATCTACAGCCCTTTCCCTGGCAGTGTAATGATGACTTTAGGGGTTGCCCACCTAGTTGGTTTCAAGCCGTTCTACTTTTGAAGCAGTAGGGGAAAAAAGGAGAGGTGATCATTCAATGCTAAGAGGATTTTGTTGAGTAGAAAAAAAGACTGTTAATGCACATGTTGCTTTCAAAGAAAAAAGAAAAGAAGGAGTCGATGTCAAAGTGAGGCTAGATCATTTACTGCAAGATTAAAGTGGTTACCATAGGACCTGCTCCTATTATATGTCAGGGTTCAGGCATACTCGCCTTTATCGCTTCTGACTACACTCCTCACAATAAGACGTGGGAGGTCAGAGTGTGTTTGCCATCCTTTGAATCAGAATGTTTCATTACTCTGGCCCATTCTGTGCCAAAGTGTGGAAATGGATTTACCTTAATGCTAAGCACGCCAGGGGTGCAATTCATCTTTCAGCCGATGTCAGCAGCAAGAACCCTGTCGGTCCGAGAGCTGGCTCTCATGTTCGACTCTTAATGTATAGGTCGCTGGTTCAAGTAGCTACTATAGAGGTGCGCTGCTCAAGCTGCAGACTTCCTCTTCAGAGTTCTGCTGCCCACTCACCACCATCATGGCAACCTCTTCTTTGCTTCATAGATGGAACAAGAATGTTGCGATTTCCTTGACTGCTTGCTTTCCTTGCTCTTTCTAGCTTCAGACACCCTTGCCTGTACAGTGGTACCTCAGGTTACATACGCTTCAGGTTACAGACTCCACTAACCCAGAAATAGTGCTTCAGGTTAAGAAATTTGGTTCAGGATGAGAACAGAAATTGTGCTCCGGCGGCACTGCAGCAGCAGGAGACCCCATTAGCTAAAGTGGTGCTTCAGGTTAAGAACAGTTTCAGGTTAAGAGCGGACCTCTGGAACAAATTAAGTTCTTAACCCAGGGGAACCACTGTAGTTGCAAAATGTGTGAGGGAGAGCAGGAACAAGCAGCTGGTACCTTAGCCATCATTCTCTTTAAAAACAAAACATATTATCTTAAAACATATCATCCTTAATTCCCCACCATTTCCCCCTCCCCCTCCCATAAAACAACCCCCCTTCCCCTCCCCCCTGACTTCCCTCAGTTCCAATATCTGGTTTCTCTATACAGTGTTACCTCGGGTTACAGATGCTTCAGGTTACAGACGCTTCAGGTTACAGACTCCGCTAACCCAGAAATAGTACCTTGAGTTAAGAACTTTGCTTCAGGATGAGAACAGAAATCGTGCTCCGGCGGCGCGGTGGCAGCAGGAGGCCCCATTAGCTAAAGTGGTGCTTCAGGTTAAGAACAGTTTCAGGTTAAGAAGAGACCTCTGGAACGAATTAAGTACTTAACCCGAGGTACCACTGTAAATGCTATTCTCTGCATTTTACAAAATTGTATAAATCCTTAATTTAGCTAACTGGTTATTATCAATAAAAAGTTTGTGAGTGTTTATTCAAAGCCTGCCAAGGAGTCCAGTTCACTTGGTTGCATCTTTAAATACTTTGTAAAGGGTTCCCATTCATCTTTAAACTACTTGTCCTGTAGTTTATGTGTCAATTTTGCCAATTCTGTATAGTCCATCAGTTTCTCCTGCCATAGTTCTTTAGTCAGGATTTCCTCACTCTTCCATCTTCGCTGTCATTCTCAACAGTTGTTGTTGTTGTTCATGGAATCAGAGAATTGTAGAGTGGAAGGAAGCCAAGGGCCATCTAGTCCAACCCCTGCAATGCTTGACAGATGGCCAGCCAACTTCTGCTTAAAAACCTCCAAGGAAGGAAGGAAAGTCCACAATCTCCCGAGGGAGTCCGCTCCACTGTCAAGCAGTTCATACTGCCAGAAAGTTTGTCTGTGTGTTTAGTCGGAATCTCCTTTCTTGTAAGTTGAAGCCATTGGTTCGAGTCCTACCTTCCAGAGCAGGAGAAAACAAGCTTGTTCCCTCTTCCATGTGACCGCCTTTAATATATTTGAAGATGTTGTTGTTGTTGTTGCTGCTGCTATAATTTATATCCCACATTGTCCCTAGAATGGGACTCAAGGCAGCTTGTGCAAATGGAAGTAAACCAGATAAAATACAAAAAGCTAAAAGCATGTAAAAAGTAATAGCTAAAAAGTAATTAATAGAATTAAAACCATAGGAATTGAACAATATAATAGAATTAAAATGATATAAATATAAATCTATTAAAATACAGACAGTAAAACAGCAGAGTGATATTAAAAACCCTTTTCTTGAAAAACAGTCAGTTCCCAAAGACCTGTCTGAATACAGCAGTCTTCACCTGCCAGCAAAAGGACAACAAAGAAGGAGTCAGTTGAGCTTCTCTAGGGAGGGAGTTCTAAAGTGCAGGAGCCAGCCACTGAGAAGGCCCTCTCCGGCATATCCATCAAGCATTCCTGTGAGGGTGGCAGGACTGAGAGAAGGATCTCTCCCAAAGCTCGGGGAGATTTGTATGGGAGAATGCAGTACTCAGAAATCCCCTAAATTAATTCATATTGGGAAGAGTTGGGTGGTAGGAGTTTGTGGTAAGGAGTTCAGAATGCCAGTTCACTGTAGTCTTATTCAGTTCATGTTCTATCAAAATGTGAGAAGGGAGCAGAGCTATGTTGATTTGCCCCATCATGCACTTTCTAGCCCCCACCTCCCCCTAACCTGGGCATAAAAAAGGTAAAGGGACCCCTGACTGTAAGGTCCAGTCGCAAACGACTCTGGGGTTGCGGTGCTCATCTCGCTTTATTGGCCGAGGGAGCCAGCATACAGCTTCCAGGTCATGTGGCCAGCATGACTAACCAGAGCAGCATGTTATTGTTGTTGTTTAGTCGTTTAGTCATGTCCGACTCTTCGTGACCCCATGGACCAGAGCACGCCAGGCACTTCTGTCTTCCACTGTCTCCCGCAGTTTGGTCAGACTCATGTTTGTAGCTTCCAGCAGAGCAGCATAGGATGTGGTTATTTTCAGGTATGGAGTCTCCAACCCTGGCAATAATGTTGGTCATGTGAGTTGGCCCTGAGGTCACTAACATGGGGAGAATATTTTAATCATAGGATTGCAGATTTGGAAGAGACCACAAGGGTCATCTATTCCAAACCCCTGCAATGCAGGAAACTTCTGCCCAACTTGGGGCTCAAACCCACAACCCTGAGATCAAGAGTGTCATGTTCTTACCAACTGCAAATATCTGCATAGGTACTTTGTAAAGCAGGGATGGAGAACCTCAGGCCCAGGGTATTTATCTGGCCCTCAGAACTCTCCATAGGCCACACCTACTCTTCACAGGCCACATCCCTCTCTGGCCATGTCTCAAAAATATTTTTTTGCCTGGCTGGAATGTGTCATTGAACTCTATTCTCTCTTGCTAGTCAAGAAGGAAGGTGGAGAGGTGTGCATGTGCCTGTATACAGGGCCGTCTTACCCATAGGCACTAGGGGTGTGGGGCACCCGGGTGCCAGGCTCTCAGGGGTGCCAGGCTGAGAGTCCGGGACCCAAGAGATGAGTCTGGGCAAGAGCCCACCCATCGGTCGGAGCACTGTGGCGGGCTCTTCTGCTGCGGGTGGCTCTGTGCTGTGAGTTCGGGGGTGACTGAGCCAGTGAGATGCTGAGGCGGCCAGCTGGCTCCGCCCTCCTGCATGCCTGGGACTGGCCAAGCTGGGGGTGGGCGGGCGGATCTTTGCACCCCGGTGCCACATATGCTTAAGACAGCCCTGCATGCATAGAAACTAGTCTTCTGTACACCCATTGCTCCATCCATATCTGCCTTTGGCTGGCCCCACTGACATGTGTCCCTCAGAATGCTGCCCAGATGGAAATGTGGTCCTTAGGCTGAGGGGGGGGGGAACCCCAGTCCATTATAGAGTATTTGCATAGTTGAGGTTGTGCCAGAGATGAGTCTATTCAGTGGCTGTTTGTGGATTCTCTCCTAAATTGGTGTGGGGGGATATGATTTCACATATTTGGCAATCATTGCATTATAATGGTACAGATTGTCTCATAGCAAACACCGACCAGCTATCAGAAGCATAGTTTGAGGAATAACTTTGTTCTGCCGCTGACAAGTTTCAGATGAGGAAAGCGCACTATTACTGTAATGTGCCTCTCCTGATGTGTGTCAGCAGTGAGTCAAAACAGCTTTGCAGATTATGTTGCTAACATGATGAGAGGAGTCTTGAGTCACTGTGTGACCAGCGTTTGCTTTGCCAGGAGCAGCACAAGTTGCTTTGATGCGGGTTGCCGGTGGGATATGTAAAACACATATAGGGCACTTCAGATTCTCTGTAAGAAGGTTTCTCTTCTTGGACAGCTGGCTTTTGCTCTGACACAGGGCAGACGCACTTAAACAGCTTTCTTGGGAGATGGAAATGGAGTTACAAAAATGGCTTGTCGCAGAGAGGAGCCGCTGAGAGTGTGAAGCGCAGAAGAGATAAATAGGGTGAGTTGGAGGAAGAAGTATTTTGGATGTAAAAGCAGCAGAAGAAGGAAAGTCTTTTAAGAGGGCAGGATAACTGCATAACCCCTAATGGACTGATTTTTGCAGAGCCAGAGAAGGCTGTATTGCCATCTCTTGGCAGAAGCAGAGAACTGCTGGATTTGGCTGGGATTAGTGATTTGCACATGGCCCCAGGAGTCTGTTTGCTTGTTGGGATTGCCATAGGTAAAAAGCTAAAGGACCCCTGCACGGTTAAGTCCAGTCAAAGGCGACTATGGGGTTGCAGTGATCATCTCACTTTCAGGCCGAGGGAGCCGGCGTTTGTCCACAGACAGCTTTCCAGGCCATGTGGGCAACATGACTAAACCACTTCTGGTACAATGGGGCACTGTGACGGAAGCCAGAGTGCACGGAAACACCATTTACCTTCCCGCCACAGCGGTACCTATTTATCTACTTGCACTGGCGTGCTTTTGAACTGCTAGGTTGGCAGGAGCTGGACAGAGCAACGGGAGTTCACCCCATCACACAGATTTGAACTGCTGACCTACAGATCAGCAAGCCCAAGAGGCTCAGTGGTTTGGACCACAGCGCCACCCATTCCTGCGATTGCCACAGCAGTCGAAGGACAGCCTACTACAGACTGCCTGAACTGTCAAGCAACAGAAGGAATCCTTGATCTGGGTTCATTTTGGTCTAAGAAAACATGGCTGATTGCCTAACCTCATTCAGGCTACAATCCTGAACTGGTGTCTGCCCAGATTTTACTGAACTCCCAACTCATCTTGCAGTCCCACAATGACTTTTGATGCTAAAAGCAGGTCCTTAGGCTTAACTCTGCTCAAATATAATGCCTGAAGCCTGTTGATTGCTGTAGGCTGCGCCATAAATAGATATAAAAATGCATCCACCTTGAATCAGAACTGGAATTATTTCTTTATATGGTAGAAGATGAACTTTAATCAACATTTTGTACCCTCTAATGGTTTAATAACCCACTGAACTTTAAAAGAAATGCAAGTAAGTAAAATAGTTTTGCTGGTGGACTCATTTCCTGAAACAACTTGCAGCCTACAGCACATTTTGAGTGGCTTAGTTATAAACCTCAAGAGACACTGATCCAGTCTTAACTACTCAGTACAAACTGTGCCACGCTCTAATAAGTGCAAAGGTATGTTGTAGTACACTGTTTCCATTTGCTACTCCTTTTGCAGCTTTCTCAGTTGGTAGCAACTTTTTCTTTCTGTGCCTTCCCAGTCCCGGGAAAACAACTATGGAAAAAGAAGGAACTGCTAGGATGCTACTTATTATCCAGATTTGAAAACTGGCCTTTTAGGGTCACTCAAAAGCATTGTTCATGTTGACTTTCATTAGTTGCACACTAATCTCTTTCAGTGATTGGGGTGGCAGGGGGAAGTAAAACACTGTCTTTGAATTTGTGCATGTGAAATGACATAATTATAGTTTTATAATTATAGTGATTATAGAGCCAAGGGGGGAGAAATGATTTTTGTCTACTACATTTTTTTCTTAATGATCTCTGAGTACAACAATAATAAAAAGAGAGCGTGATTTCTTGCATCTTGGGGAACATGAGAAGTGATGCATTTTCGCCCATTTCAAATATTTATCAGTCTTTCCTAGACATGTTGTATATAAAAGTAATGAATAAAACACAACGGGAACAGCAAAAGGACCATGTTTTAATGCATTACACATGAACGCTCACAGTTGCAGGAAGAAATAACTGGCCCTTGCATTATTTAAGGAGATTTTTTTTCCCCTTTCCCAGGGATGGATCGTGTTGGATTTACTCCATTTATGAGTCAACTTCCTGTGGCCGGGAGCTATTCTACAACTGCTTTAAGATGAGATTCTCTTTGGCTTTGGAGTAGAAAGCTGTATTTTTAATAGCCAATGAGAAAGCAGGTTTATATTCAAAACAAGATGCAGCCAGGTAAAGCTGAGTGCTAGAATTGAGGTCAGCTAGAATTATATTGTATATAGACACTCTGGTGATAAACATGTAGCACAGGGCTGTAGGCTCAGCAATATAGCACACACAAGCCTACAGCCCCAGGTCCCATTCCTCACATATCCAGTTAAAAGGATCAGGTAGATGATGGGAAAGACTGTTGCCTGAGATCATTGTTACTTGCTGCCAGTCAGCCAGCTGCTGCTGAGAAGACCCATTCTATGTACAGTGGTACCTCGGGTTACATACGCTTCAGGTTACAGACTCCGCTAACCCAGAAATAGTGCTTCAGGTTAAGAACTTTGCTTCAGGATGAGAACAGAAATCGTGCTCTGGCGGCGCAGCAGCAGCAGGAGGCCCCATTAGCTAAAGTGGTGCTTCAGGTTAAGAACAGTTTCAGGTTAAGTACGGACCTCCGGAACGAATTAAGTACCTAACCTGAGGTACCACTGTATAGCCCTTACTTACCTTCAGTGTCTTAGAATTCTAATGGGAGCCCTTCTTTGCAGTTTCAAGAACCCGGGTACAGGTTTACCATTTCAGTGAGAGCTAGACCTGGGGCCTAATGCTACCATTCTAGACCCGAGACTTTATTGCCTATTCCTCACTCTGCAGTGGAGAATGGAATGGGTTTGATTGGAGAACACTCTAACACTCCTTTGGAACATAATAGATTCTCAGTTTAGCTGACTACTGGGCATGCAACACCCCTTGATCTGCATTTGGTCCCTTACCTTTCTCGCCCTGATCTGGCCACAGTGATCCATGCGACGGTCACTACCAGGCTTGATTATTGTAACTCGCTCTATGCGGGGCTGGCCTTCAAGCTGACCCAGAAACTCCAGCGGGTGCAGAATACCGTGGCGAGGCTCCTTACGGAGTCCTTGCCACGGGATCACATTCATCCAGTGCCTTACCAATTGCACTGGCTCCCGGTGGAGAACAGGGTCAGGTTTAAGGTGCTGGCTTTGACCTTTAAAGCCCTATGTGGCCTAGGACCCACGTACCTACGGGACCACCTCTCCTGGTATGCCCCACGGAGGATCTTAAGGTCCACAAATGACAACACATTGGAGGTCCTAAATCGCAAGGTGGTTAGATTGGTTTCAACTAGGGCCAGGGCCTTTTCAGTACTGGCCCCGACTTGGTCACAAGCTCTGTCACAAGAGACTAGGGCCCTGTGGGACTTGACATCTTTTGGAAGGGCCTGCAAGACAGAGCTGTTCCGCCTGGCCTTTGGTTTGGACTCAGTCTGACCCTTATGTTTCCCTCCCCTTATGGTTTTGATCTATGGGCTACTTTTAAAACGAGGCTGCATTTTAAATTATATTTTAACCCGTATTTTAAATTGGTTCCCCCTCCCCTATTATATTTTTATTGTAATTTTACTGGTGTTAGCAGCCATGAGCCCGGGGAGGGCGGGGTATAAATAAAATTTATTATTATTATTATTTTATTGGGTTAAGCTGCCATACTCTGGCGGGCGGCAAAGTGATTGACAAGACATTATGGGCTGTAAGTGTAATACTTTTGCAAAGTGCTTCTTCTTCTTTCTTTTTCTGTCACCACACCAGTGGATGCAACACAATTGCAACAGGTTTCCACTTCCTGTCTTCCCTACTGCATCTTCCTGAACGCCCCCAATCTGATCCAGAAGGAAGAAAGACAAAGTCCCATGTGTGCAACTGGAAGTCTGTTGTTCAAGGGGGATGTCGATATGCAATATCACCCTTGGCGCTTGCACCGATGGTGTTAATACTCTCATTCCTTCATGTAGCTGTTTGATCCTGCAGCTGCAAATAGTGGCCGAGTTTCGCAGGATGGCTGGAAGCTTTTGGTTCCTCTCGGTATTTATGGACAACTTCTCTCTGGGCACAAATCAAAGATTAGTCATTGTCGGTGCTTATCAGCCATTCTACAAGCTTATCTACAATTCTGCCAGTTAGACTTGGAAGAATTCTGTTTCTCTCTCCTTCCCGTAACATTTGAGAAGACCCTATTTTGTGTAGTTCTGCCATTTCCATCATGTAAGAATCTAAATTTAGTGAAGATTTACGGTAAAGAAAAAGAAGGAATTTCAGCTTCTGAATCCCAGAACAGGCTTCTGCCATTAAATCAGCGATTATTTACATTATGTCGCAGTAAAAGAAAGTTGTTATGCACTCTGTCCCAGCTCAATTTTCACTATTACAGCTTTTCTTTTTCCATACGCAAATGCAAATATAATGATCCCACACTAGCAATTAAGCTTACCACTTCAACCAAGTACACATCTTCTCTGTAAAGTGAAAACTGGGTTTACATATTCACTGCTACCAAAGAAAAGGGGGAGATACAAAACTTTCACCCATCCATCTTAAATAACTTTTTTTAAAAAAAGTGTGTGAATCTGTATCTACCGCAAGCTCATATATTATGTATAGCAGCTGTGCTTTGATCATGATGAAGGGAGGGCTATAAAAACTTTGAAATAGGAAAATAAATGCTTTGGTGGTATTTGAATCTTCCTCCAATTATTTGGCAGTATTATCTTCTACATGGTATACAAATGGTACCCACGTACGTTTTCCCGATTTTATGTGTCCTTCCACCAATTTTATTTTAGATGCCGGGTGGCGCTGTAGGTTAAACCACAGAGCCTAGGACTTGCCGATCAGAAGGTCGGCGGTTCGAATCCCCGTGACAGGGTGAGCTCCCATTGCTCGGTCCCTGCTCCTGCCAACCTAGCACTTTGAAAGCACGCCAAAGTGCAAGTAGATAAATAGGTATCGCTCTGGCGGGAAGGTAAACAGCGTTTCTGTGCACTGCTCTGGTTCACCAGAAGCGGCTTAGTCATGCTGGCCACATGACCCGGAAGCTGTATGCTGGCTCCCTCGGCCAATAAAGCGAGATGAGCGCCGCAACCCCAGAGTCGTCCACGACTGGACCTAATTGTCAGGGGTCCCTTTACCTTTACCTTACTGCCAGAGGCAGCAGGCTTCTGAATGCTGTTTGCTGGGAATTGAGTGGGGAAAAGATTGCTACACTCAGGTCCTACTTGTGAACTTTTCAGGGATATCTGGTCAGCTGCTGTATGAACAGGATGCTGAATGCTGGATTAATAATGCTGGATTTGATTAGAGTTTATCCATACTTACCTTTCCTCCTGTTTTTCCAGGCATGGCCTGTGCTTTAAAGCTCTGTGTCAGAACACCTTTTTGTTTTGTTTTGTTTTGTTCCAGAGCTCTCCCCATGAAAACCTGCTCCTTAAAGCTCAATCGGAGGAAACAGCAATCTGTGTAAAACCTGAATTGATATTTGCCCCGACTGAGCACTAAAGAGCAGAAATTCCACTCAGATTTCCATACAATAATAATCTGGTGGTCATGCTGCTAAATACTTTGACCTCCCGCCACGCACACCGGAGGTAAGTGAGGAAGCATCACAGTTGTGACCTATAGCAGTATGGATTTGGATGTTTTCTGTCTTAATAATGTTGCATTATTATTATTTATTAACAACTGAACTTAGCCAACTGTATCTTTTTAAAAAAGCAACAGTTTAAACATTCTTTATTCTGTAAGCAAAAAAAAAAAGAAGCCACATTTTCTTTGGATAATTTTAAATTGGGCATTTAGTAAACAGCTCAGTCATCTGCTTGAGCCGCTCACAATACCATGTTTGTTTCTTTCCCTTTCAGAACTGTAGGTCTTTGGTTCTTTCATAAGAGCTGTTTGCCAAGTGGCCTGAAGCCATGGAGAAATTACTTTTCTGTGAAAGCTGCACCTTTGCAAATAGCATGTGAAATTACTAAGATGTATTTAGTTAAAACAAGAGCAGCAACAGCAAAAAGTGACGGGAATAAATGAGAAGGGAAAGAAAGAAAAAATAGGCTCTTTAACTCTCCCTTTCATTTCCTATAGGATAAGAATGGGAAATGCTTCCAAACTTTCTTCTTCCTTTCTGCATTTTTCCATTAAAATGATGTTCAAATGTTTGGCCAGATTTGCCATCCAATTTTTACCCTTTACTCTTGCATTTAGCCTTCATACCTTCAACTCTTTGGGAATCAATTGCACAGCATGTAAAATAGGACTTGATGGGGCAGAGAAATAGGTCCGTACTCTCCATAATCCCAATTAAAGGGGATTTCATCATAACCTGCATTTCATCTTGTTTCTAAATTCCATTTTAAGGCTTTGAGGCCATGCTGGTCACTGCAGAAATGTTTCATCTGCTTAACAAGACACCCCCTCCCCCCGCCCTTGATATTTTAGCAATTTGACCTTGGAACATTACATGGAAATGTGCTTCTGTCTTTGATTCTGTCAAAGGAAATGCAGAATTGGAGTGGGGGGGGAACTGGATGGAATGGGAAATCATTTTTAAAATAGTTGTGCTTAAAAGAAATGAAGCGGCTCAGGAATCAGATTAGCCCCTTTTTGGCATGAGGTTTTCTTCTTCTTTTTCCTTCCAAAGAACTATTCTGCATTCAGGACTTTCCATTACCTTGCTTGGAGGGAAGTGAGCAACATAATGCTGTTGCAACTTTATCTCCCCTCTCCCCTCTACTCTCTGAGTAAACTGATGATACTTCTCCTCAAATCTCCAAAGGTATCTGACAAAGCAGTTTCAGGTTTTCAGCAGAGTGGGTTAGGTTGAAAGATGGTAACAGGCCAAGATCCCTTTCGGATGAGCAGAGCCTTGAACCCAAGTATCCCCAGTCTAAGTCCAGCAGTCTACCACATGCTTAATAACATATATATTGCTGAATTTAGCCTACATAGTGTTGTTGTTGTTGTTGTTGTTGTTGTTGTTGTTGTTTTACAATTTAAGGCTTCTGTTTTTCTCTGATTGGGGAGTATGTCAGTGGCAGAGCACAGGTCTCTTCAGGTAGCAGGACTGGAAAAAGATTTTCATTGCCTGAGACCCTGGAAACCAGCTGCCTGCTGGAGTAGAAAAGCATTGGGCTGTACCAAGGATAGCCAAAATGGTGCTCTCTAGGTGATGTTGGACTACACTTTCCATCAGCCTCAGCCGCCATGGTCAATGGTTAAAGATTATGGCAATTGTAGCCCAAGAATATCACACTGGCTACCCCTAGATGACTTAGTGGTCTGATTTAGGATAAAGCAGCTCCATTATCCTAAGATATCTTTTATTATGCTAGTAAATGTTGTTGTTGTTTAGTCATTTAGTTGTGTCCGACTCTTCGTGACCCCATGGACCAGAACACGCCAGGCACTCCTGTCTTCCACTGCCTCCCGCAGTTTGGTCAAACTCATGTTAGTAGCTTTGAGAACATTGTCCAACCATCTCGTCCTCTTCTTCTTGTGCCCTCCATCTTTCCCAACATCAGGGTCTTTTCCAGGGAGTTTTCTCTTCTCATGAGGTGGCCAAAGTATTGGAGCCTCAGCTTCATGATCTGTCCTTCCAGTGAGCACTCAGGGCTGATTTCCTTCAGAATGGATAGGTTTGATCTTCTTGCAGTCCATGGGACTCTCAAGAGTCTCCTCCAGCACCATAATTCAAAAGCATCAATTCTTCGGTGATCAGCCTTCTTTATGGTCCAGCTCTCACTTCCATACATCACTACTGGGAAAATCATAGCTAGTAAATAAAAATCTTTTATTATGCTAGTAAGCTAGCACATTAATACTTCTTATTCTATTGAAAGAGACCCTCAAATGTGGGAGTGCTAGTGATTTGGCTTTGAAAATGGTACTGAACATTCACTTTGTTTCCCCTTCAAGATTTCACATTGAAAGATTTTGCGTCCGGTCTCCCAGCTTAATCCTTTCCCTCTGTTGTTTCCTTATGATAATAGATACTGATGTAGCTCTTCAAATGAACATGAGTCTCATATGTTCTATCAACAGTATGAGCTCTGGTGCTTGAAATCCAGCTATTAATTGATAACTTTTTTCGGTGGTAGATTCCCTACATATTTGTCAGATTATATTAACTAAGGTGTATGGAATGAAAGAACTGTATTCTGAGAGACCACCCCAAATTCTGCCCTGCGATTTCCCCCCCAGGTTAACAGGGTTGCAAATTGATTTATTTTCCCTGGAAGCAATTATCACAGAAACGAGTACTAAACCTCCACTGGATTCTGCTAGATTTCCAGAAGTGCATTCTCCGTCATGTGAAATCTTACATAAAATGCAAAAAACCCACGATCAGGTAAGGAAACGTCAGGAAAATGGCATAAAGTGTTGTCTGAATGCAGCCCATATGTGTGCGTGGGGAGAGAGAGAGAGAGAGAGAGAGAGAGAGAAGCAGACTTACTAGCAACCATCTCAGGAAGGCGAAGATAAATGAGACTTTTCTCCACTTCTCCTTGGTGGGGAGAAAGCTTAAGTTTGAAAATAACTTGGGGTCTGGCACTCTTGTCTCCTTCAAAGAACATCCTGTTAAAAGAGAGCCTTACATCTGTGAGAGCAATTGTAGAAAATGTTGAGATGTTTCTTTCTTGTGTGTGGTAAAATCAAGTGAAGAAGCTGGTTGCTTTCTTTTCTTTTCTTTTTATCAGTGTAAAAGGATTTTTTGTTTTGCTTTTATTTAAAGGCCCCTCCCCCCTTCCCTTTCTTCCCTTGCTGTTTCAAAACATTTCAGACAGGCACTGTTTGTTCTTTGCATCACTTAGAACAATGTGTCTTAGGCATCACTTTGTGTATTTGTGAAGAAGTCTTTATTATACAGTGCTGTGCTAAGTAGACAGTCCATTAAGAAATGTGCGTCGAATTCAAGCATATAGCCGATGAAATAACAGAACGGTGGAACTCGCTCAAGGACACCCATCACAAAGACAAATGCAAGGGTGCAGAGTGAAGTAAACTGTCGTAGTAAAAATACCGCAGGAAATGATGTACTTCATATATCTATTTTCCACCTCACCACCCACTGAGCAGAGAGAGCTCTGAACACAGAACTTAATGGAGCCAATGAGCTCCAGTCAGTTCTATGGGAGACGAGATGGGACTTGCCATCAGAAGATGTCTTGAGCAGACTGAATGGTTCTGTGTATATAAGGAGTTTGAATGTGTGCGAGAGATCTGAGTGGAGACCGAAGCAACATGCATATAATTTGTGCTTGGATGTGAATGTGGGCAGGTACGAATGGAGAAGGAACCACAAGCAAAAACATGTCTGTGAAGGAATGAAACACTTTTGAATGTGTTCTTATTTATGCAATGTTTGCTTTCTGTTGAGACATTGGGTTATTTAGAGCAGCAATTCCTAACCTTCTGAGGCCCAAGGCCACATGTGGAAATCAGAGGAACTGCCATGGGCACCACCACAAAATGGCTGCCATGGGTGCCCAGCATACTCTTAAAATGGCTGCACTTTAAACTCGCCTAATGATGGGATTTTTAAATGTGCCATGGGTGCCAGCACAAAATGGCTGCAATAAGACCTCCCTCAAAAAAGAGGTAACGGTATTGTGTACCATTGGCTACCATCATACAGCAAAATGACTAGGAAGCAACAGCTTTCTATATTATGTGAAGCTGATGAAGACGTATTTGTGATATTATACATTTGTACAATGTACATGTGAATCCTTAGAAGGAATAACATGGAAAAGGAACAAGGTAAAATGAGATATCTCTGCCTAGATGTGGAAACGAATGCAGTGCCTGGTTCTGTTGTGTTCAGATATTGCACAAACTATTAGAGGGACTGATAGAACTATCATACTGATGAATGGCTGCATTCAGTGGCATTAAAGAAAATTTATGTTAGAGCAACTGTCACTAAAAACATTCATTTATCAAAGGAACTTACTTACTGGTCTCTAATTTCTATTAGTGAGCTATCAATACCACATTAGCTAATCCATGTGCATAATGGCAATCACGATGTTCCCCCAAACCCAGTAAACTTTCAAATTTATCATCTTCTTATGACTTGTCTTGGATTTTGATGGCATTCCTACAAAATGGTATTTATTAGCCCTGATCAGTTTATACCTGTAACCGTCTAATGTGATGTTCTATGCTGAGCCCAAATCTAATCGTGCAGGTCAAAAATCTCTCATCTTCTCAAAGCTCTGATTCTTCAAGTGAATTTCCCCTCTTGTCTGGATCAGTAAGCTACCCGCAGATTCACCCTACCTCACAGTTTGAAAATCTGAGTTTAACAAGTCAGTCTGTTTAGAATTTTGATAGGACACTTTGGTGTAATTTGTTCAAGTCTGGAAGGATTGACACTGACCTCTGAGAAGTTGGTGGGGTGGAGGAAATAGCTGATCATGTTGTATGTGATTGTTTGAGAGACTGGGATGAAAAAGAACCTCTCCTTCACAAACATAAGAACTTCGGCATCACAAATTTGTATTTGGGGGCTGTCGTTTGTGTGGGAATGTTAAGGATAGTAGGAAAGGATATACTGAATAAGTATTATCCTTCCTTCATTCACACTAGTGAATGATGTAGCAGAGTAAATTCCCCTCAATCTAGCTGGAAGCTAGTTTGCAAATCTGTTTGAATCTCTTAGTTAAGATTACTTTCTGTTATCTCCTTTAATCCCTCTTAAAAAAATAAAGACACGAGAGTCTTTCTGAGTAAAGTAAGAAGTTTACTCACATTTCAGTTCACGATTTAATCCCTGAAAGGCAGGATTTTCTTAGCAGCTACATAAACAAACAGTGTGAGTTGATCTCATATGGAGCCTGAACTCATGCTCTTAGCCAGCAGAAAGCAAAATTACATTAAGACAAAATGGCTGCAGAAGAGCCACATGGCAGCAAAAGAGCAGCAACAAGAGAACTTCAAGACAAAAGGTAGACTGCGACTGAGAAAATGGCTGCATAACTCGGCTCTTTTAAGGAGTCAGCCAGAGCCACGCCCACCTCCCAGGTCACATACAGGGGGAGGAAGCTCTAGACCAGTGGAAGGGGAAGTTACACTGACTGGATGTCCCCCTGCCTGTGCCCCCTCTAGGGAAATAAGGAATGTTGCATTTGACTGCACAAATGGGTTACATCCCACACTTTGGGACAAAAATTATTAAGCATGGGGTCCAGGGTTCAAGATTTTATGAAAGCTCTCCTGAGATACAAGGCTTCCTGAATCATTATAATCGAGCGGGTAATAAAGTAAAGTTGAGGGTTCCTTGTTCGGGTCCCGATTACCCCCCAACACCAGTTTTTAAGGGAACATGTAACACAGGAAGGTGCAATATGTTTTCCATTTTACCATGTGAATGCATCTATATATGCATCCCCACGGGCAAATGCCCCTGCTTTGTTTCCCGAGGCTACCAGACAGATGTCAGGAAAAGGTCTTTTCTGCATACCCTCCACCATTTCTCTGATGAAAATAGGGATGCCCTATTCCATCATCATACTACTGAAATATTATTTATACCCTGCCCATCTGACTGGGTTGCTCCAGCCACTCTGGGAGGCTTCCAACATATATGAAAACATAAGCATTAAACATTTAAAAAACTCCCCATACAAAGCTGCATTCATATGTCTTCTAAACGTTGTACACTGGTACCTCAGGTTAAGCACTTAATTCGTTCCAGAGGTCCGTACTTAACCTGAAACTGTTCTTAACCTGAAGCACCACTTTAGCTAATGGGGCCTCCTGCTGCTGCCGTGCTGCCGGAGCACGATTTCTGTTCTCATCCTGAAGCAAAGTTCTTAACCTGAAGCACTATTTCTGGGTTAGCGGAGTCTGTAACCTGAAGCGTATGTAACCTGAAGCGTATGTAACCTGAGGTACCACTGTATAGTTACTTATCTCCTTGGCTTGGGGGTCGCATAACTCCATACCCTCCAACATTTGCCCAATGAAAACAGGACCATCCTAAGGAAAAGCAGGGATCAATTCAGAAACCAGGACGACTTCAGTAAATCTGGGACTGTCCCTAGAAAATAGGGAAACTTGGTCTGTTTCTTTAGCGGAGTCCCGGCTAGGGAACTCCATATCCCAAGAGACCCACCTGGCTTCTCTCATCCCCATAGCATTTCAATACAAAGCTATAATATTGTTTTGTCAGGCCTGTTATGATATGTCTGAGCTCTGATGTCATTCCTCTACCCCCTAAGTATGGCTTTTATCGCTTTTAACTGCTTTTATTGTTAGCGTTTTAGCATCTAGCTGTCTTCTGCTGTGCTTTTAATTATGGTGTTGCAAGCTGCCTTGGACATCTTTTTATAAGATATAAAAGGCTGAGGGGGCAACTCACTCTGAAGCTGCACCCATCATAAACATGCAATTTATCTTCTTTTTTTTAAAATAGTATTTATTAAGGTTTTAAATTTACAAAAAGGCAAAAGAAAAAACACCAAATTAAACAATAGCAAAACAACACATCACAATAAAAAAACAGAAAAATAGAAACAATTAAAAACAAAAACAAAAACAAAAACAAATCGAGCCTTCCCATAACTTATCTTTCATTTGCTTGTTTCCCTGACCTCCTCACACCTCCCTTTTTTGTATTCTAAGTCAATGATCCATTTCAGCAAATCCTTTCCCTCTCTTCAAAATTTTTATCCTGAAAATTTATCTTGATCTTAATATAAGTTTACTTTCCCTCTTTTCACCAATTAACAGTCTATTTTTCTTAAATCTTAGATACATTTTTGCTAAAATCACATAGATTCATTCCCACATCATTCTAACATTCATTAATTTTACAATGTTTCTGTAAATAGTCTTTAAATTTCTTCCAATCTTCCTCCACCGACTCTTCTCCCTGGTCTCGGATTCTGCCAGTCATTTCCGCCAGTTCCATATAGTCTATCACCTTCATCTGCCATTCTTCCAGAAATAAACATGCAATTTATCAATCAGCTTCACTCTCCCTTGGTGAATGGCACCTGTCCTGTATGGTTGGATCTTCTAGGGATAATGAAATAAGATTTGACAATGAACATCTGGTGGTGAAGGACCAACGCGGTGATGGGTCACTTCATTGGTTGTGCCAGCCTATACTAGTGGTAAACTGCAAATGCAAACCATATTGACATATTCCCTGCTATACCAGATTCCTCCCTCAGCAAACGTGCTGTTGATTTCCTTTCATTACCTCCCATCAGTTCTACTGAGGATGCCACTGTCCAATGTAATAGCATTTCAATATTGATTTTCCAGACAGTCCTAAATAATGCTGTCATATTAATAACCTCCAAGGCACTCTTGGGGTCAGGCTTCGTGTATCTTCCTTAAGATAACACAATTGCAATGATCACCATTCTTTAGGGGGTCTCCAGGTCAACAACACATTTTTTTAACCCGACAGATGATTACATGAACTGCTTGTTCCTGGGAGAGGGAGGGACATCAATATATTTGTTTAGTTTAATAATGAAATCTTGCTGCTGCATCTGCCGCCGCTTTTTAAGGAATTGGTATGTGTTGTGATCTGTTATTACGCTTACCGTGCAGCATTAATGTGATGAATACATCCACAATGGCACCTTTCTCACACTGAGTTCCATTTAACATTTGCCTCTGGTTTCCTTACATTCCCTGAAGCATTTACCTCTGTGGTTGCTTGCATGCTGTATCTGGTTGTGATTTGGGTAGAGAATGTCAGGAGCTGCTCATGAGGTGGTGTGGCGCTTCAGAACAACCCTCCTGACATGGACATCTCTGCCGATTGCCTCGATGGGACACGGCAAGGTGGCAGCAATGGCAGATTGGCTCCACCGGTGCAACTGTGTAGCCACTGTGGGATGCAATCCATTTGTGCAGTCAAATGGAACATTCCTTATTTCCCTAGAGTGGGCACAGGCAGGGGGACATCCAGTCAGTGTAACTTCCTGTTCCACTGGTCTGGAGCTTCCTCCCCCTGCATGTGATTCGGGAGATGGGCGTGGCTCTGGCTGACTCCATAATAGAGCCCAGTCACACAGCCATTTCTCTCTCTCTCTCTCTCTCTCTCTCTCTCTCTCTCTCTCTCGCTTGCTGCTCTCCAGCAGCCATTTTGTTCTTTTCATGTAATTTTGCACATGAGCTCAATCTCCATATGAGATTCACTCACAGTTTGTTATGTAACTACAGTGGTACCTCTGGTTGCGAACGGGATCCTTTCCAGAGGCCCGTTTGCAACATGAAAAACCCGCAACCTGAAGCGCCGTACCTGCGCAGGTGTACGGCGCGATTTGGTGCTTGTGCGCATGCGCGAGCGGCGAAACCCGGAAGTAACCCTTTCCGGTACTTCCGGGTCGCCGCAGGACGCAACCTGAAAAAACGTATCATGAAGCAAATGTAACATGAGGTATGACTGTACTAAGTAAAGTCTGCCTTTCAGGGAACTGAAATGTGAGTAAATTTCTTGTTACTTTTAAGGAAAGACTCTTGTGTCTTTGTTTTTTAAAGAGGGATAAAAGGGGACACCAGGAATAATCCATCTGGGCAAGCCAGATTGGATTACTTAACTAAAGAGATTCACACGAAACTAGCTTCCTGCTATATTGAGGGGAATCTGCTCTGCTACATCATTCACTAGCGTGAGTGAAGGAAGGATAATACTTATTCAATATATCCTTTCCTGCTACCTTTAACATTCCCACAGCCACAACCTTGCTGCCATTCTCCCTAACCTCAGCCTCATCCAGGTAAGAGGGAACAAGGCCAGAGGGGGCCTCCACAGCTCTGCCCCACCACATAGGCCACTACTGAATAGGGCGCCTGTCAGTCTCTCAGTTTGTGATTTTCAGGTTGTGAGTTTTGTTGCTTATATAGCCAAAAGAGAATCACGCACATATATGAGGGAGGTATCAGCAGGATTGGGTGAACTTTGAGATTTAGAGAAGTACAATTGAAGCAAAAAACAAAAAAACAAAAACAAAACCTAAGGGCAGAACTGCCTACAACATAGGACTCAGTGAGTGGCCCTGTTTTATGTATTATACCATCTAGATGCCTACTACTGTGCCAAAGATACATAGCCTCATTCTTTAAAAAAACACAATAGAACTCAAGATAAAACAAAGCCAACACTGCGAAAACAAAGCAAAACAGCAACAAAAGAAACAGAACTATAAAAGAAAACCAAGGCAACGAAGGAGAAGAATCTTTTCTACATTCAAACAGTCACTCTCTAAAACCAGCACAAGGTTTGCCTGATGTTGGAAGGCTAACAGTGAAGGGGTAGAATGAACCCTGAGAGGAGCTCAAAACAGATGTCCTTGGACTTCAACTCCCATCAGCCCCAACTGGCATGACTAATGATCAGAGATGGTGGGAGTTGTGGTCTGGTAACCCCTGGTGAGCATTAGATAGGCCACCTTTGTTTTATAGCATAAGTGCCGCTGGAGAAACAGCTAATTTCACATAGAAAGGAGATTCGAAGCAGGGTTTCAGAGGAAGATCTCCCATGTGGGAGAAAGCAATACTTTTAGAGCAGGGTTGGGGAACCTCAGGCTCAGGGGCAAATGGAGTCCTCCAGGCCTCTCTGTCTGGTCCTTTGGACTCTCCTCGTGCCCCATCTCCCCAGGCACAACCACTCTCCCAGGCCCTACCTCTCACTGGCCATGATCTGTATCCTCCTGGAGCACTGTTTCTCAACCTGTGGGTCCCCAGATGTTGTTGGTTTACAACTCCCATCATTCCTAGCCAGCATGACCAGTGGTCAGGGATGATGGGAGTTGTATTCCAACAACATCTGGGAACCCACAGGTTGAGAACCGCTGTGCCTGGAGTGTGGACTTGAGTGCAGACAATGACTCTTGCTTGCCTGGAAGGAGGATAGAGATGGATATGGAAGTGTGTGTACAACTGGTGACATTTGCGGTCTTGTTCCACTCACTTGTGGTTCTTCATTGCAACCGCCATGGGCATGTGACCTCCACAGGGTTGCCAAGAAGGAAACATAGCCCTCAGACTGAAAAAAAGGTCCCATTTTGATTTAGTATTTCTGATTCTGATTCCTAGTATACAGCTGAAACTTGGAAAATTAGAATATCATGAAAAAGTTCATTTATTTCAGTAATTCAACTTAAAAGGTGAAACTAATATACGAGATAGTCTCATGGCATGCAAAGCGAGATATGTCAAGTCTTTATTTGTTATAATTGTGATGACCATGGCGTACAGCTGATGAAAACCCCAAATTAACAATCTCAGAAAATCAACACAGACTGTGGAAACTTCACACTGGACTTCAAGCATCTGGCATTGTGTGCCTCCCCATTCTTCCTCCAGACTCTGGGTCCTTGGTTTCCAAATGAGATGCAAAAGCTGCTCTCATCAGAAAAGAGATTTGGGGAGCCATGTCATCAGTTGGTGTTGGTCCACTGTGCTTCATTAAGTCCAGGGTCAACACAGCCATCTACCAGAAGACTTTGGAGCACTTCATGCTTTCTTCTGCAGACGAGCTTTATGGGGATGGTAACTTCATTTTCCAGCAGGACTTTGGCACCTGCCCACACTGCCAAAAGTACCAAAACCTGGTTCAGTGCCCATGGGATTACTTTGCTTGATTGGCCAGCAAACTTGCCTGACCTGAACCCCATAGAGAATCTATGGGGCATTGCCAAGAGAAAGATGAGAGACATGAGACCAAGCAATGCAGAAGAGCTGAAGGCTGCTACTGAAGCATCCTGGTCTTCCATAACACCTCAGCAGTGCCACAGGCTGATAGCATCCATGCCACGCCACATTGAGGCAGTAATTGATGCAAAAGGGGCCCAAACCAAGTACTGAGTACATATGCATGCTTCTATTTCTCAGAGGTCCAATATTGCTCTATTTGCAGTCCTTGTTTTGCTGATTTCATTTAATATTCTAATTTTCTGAGATTGTTAATTTGGGGTTTTCATCAGCTGTACGCCATGATCATCACAATTATAACAAATAAAGACTTGACATATCTCGCTTTGCATGTCATGAGTCTATCTCATATATTAGTTTCACCTTTTAAGTTGAATTACTGAAATCAATGAACTTTTCCACAATATTCTAATTTTCCAAGTTTCACCTGTACTTGCCCCACAATTGCAGATTTTGCCTTTTGCTTTTCTCTTAATAAATGCTTATTTTGCTCAATGTGTCTTGCACCTGCATAACTCCTGATGGTACACAGTTCCTTCACTGTCTTTGCACTATCACTGCCACGCTTCTTCCAAGTGGTTCGCTCCATAGCAATGTGTGAACTGGCTAATGTGTTCTCCAAGCACATTTTGTCATTTGCGCGATGCTCCCACAAGTTCCACTAAGCCAGCCAATGGATCATTGCATTCCCCCCCCCCTACAGTCTTATAAAACACTGCATTTTAAGTGCTCAGAAAATGTGAGGTTGGGAACGGCACCTTCATGGGAATAAGTTGCAGGCTGCATGCAACCAATGGGGGCAAAGGTGATTTACAAATAGGTATCAACTCTCGAAACATATCCCAAAAATGTAACAGTTTCCTTTAATCACAAATGCTTGATAATGATCAGAGGTTAAATAAAAAAGTGTTATCTCAGTTGCTTTAATTATTTTCACACCCACAAAGAAACTTAACAGCAGTTTAATTAGAAATATTAGTCGACTGAGCTGCATCTACAGCAGACATTGTGTCTGTTCAGGGAGAAATAAAGAAAGCTGGGGTTAGAGATCTGAGCAAATCACTGCAAATAAGTTATTTGTGCATGTATTATAAACTTGTAGGGCCATTTGCAGTGTGTTATAAAAATGCAACAATCACCCTCCACAAAAAATGTCTATAAAAGAGTGGCAAAGCCTAAAAGAAAAGATAACAGCATTAAAACTGCTTGAAATGACAATGGTTTGTTTGCTGACCATTCCATCTGTCAATTTTGTTTTCTTTGCACTTTTCCCTATGAATTTGAAATTTTGTTTTTTTAAAAAAAATTGGCCTAATCCAGCAGGCTATTATTGTGTTCTTATGTTCTTGATCAATTCTCTCCTAAAATATTCTGCTAGTATGGTGAATCTTCATCGGAATTCTTCTTGCGCTGTAAGGACATAAAAATGAGTGCAGGGCATATTTGTGCTTCCCTGAAAAACAACAGCATTTCACCTGGAAGGGAAGTGGTTGCTGATCCCCACACTTAGCAAATAGCTCGGTTTTGGCAGGAACATGACTCACATCGGTAATTGTCCTCATAATAAATATTGAGCTTTGGGGAACATGTTGCTGGAAAAAAAAATAACTTTGTGCCAGCCAACCACGGCAGCTTGCTTTGTTGTTCCCAGCAAATTGATGGGCTCAACCCTGTCCTCTTGATGTTTATGCATTTCCACCCACTGCTACTGGTGCCAGCCACAGTTCTGCACCAGAATACTTCCCACCTCCCTTGAGATTCTTGGAAACGCAACCTCTTCACAGTTCTGTGATGCATTTCTTTCTCCCCGTCCACCCACAACATGAATATCTGTAGATGTGAAATAGAGGTGTTGAAACTGATGGGTATTTTCACTTGCCAGGTTTGTCTGAGGCTAAGTGCCAGGGCCTGCACAAGACATTTTGGCACTTGGGGTAGACCCCCCAATGGTGCTTCCCTCCCTGCCAGGAAAGAGGGGTGAGGGAAGGTCAAGGAACAAGGGAGGAAGAAAGATTGACATTGGGATCTGCTGCCTTGGAGGATCCTTCCGCCTGAGGCAGGTGCTTCACCTGGCCTCAGGGGTGGGCCAGCTCTGCTAAGAACTCTATGCAGAGCTCAATAGTTGTATCTGCTGTCGGCATTCGGAGGGCCGGGAGACCAGCTGATAAGCCCCAGCTGTGCCATCTCCATCCATCGGCCTGTGCTCTGGGGTCTTGACACGCAATACATTTCCTACTTTTTGTGAACGGAGAATATGTGGAATCCACAAAGCTTCAGCAGTGGCAATAATAGATTCATTAGCCATGTTCAGGTATAGTCAAATTATTACTGGGGCAGGAGTGCAAGGCTGAGATCACTAAACTGGTGTTGACTTAAATGTATGGTTTTTTTCTGCTATGAGAGAGAGAGAGAGACTTTTAGGGTCCAACCTTCTTAAGACAGATTCCAACAACATGTCAAATTTATATAATTGATAATAAACATAAAACACAGTAAAAATAGAACTGGAAAAGAAAAAAAACCCAACAGTGACCAGAAATAACCTCAAAGCAGCAGTAGTCAGTTGGAATGTTTGGACCCTTGGAATGTTTTGGACTACAACTCCCATCGTTCCTGACCATGTCCCATACTGACTAGGGCTGTTGAGAGTAATCCAAAACATCTGCAGGGCACCATATTGTCTGTCCCTGCCTTAAAGCAACCCCTTGTCCAGTAAAGCTACAAAGGTGTGTAAGTGTCAACTGACAATAATGACAGCAACATTTCAGTGAGATCTGGAAAAAAGAGACGATACTATATTTGTTACACTGACAATATCCTCAAAGAAAAACTTTGAGCTTCTTAGCATAAGATAATACCCACCTTAATTTAGAATAATTGCTTTGGTTATTATTGAGACTGTGAAATGGACTAAGCAGGCAAATCCAGTCTGCTTTCTAGATACAGCAAATGTGGATTAATTAAGCATTAGATCTTGGCCTCTTTATGGCATTCCAAAGTGTTGGAAAGAGATATAGATCAATCATCATGCTAAATACATGATAGAGTACGGCCTGAGCCAAACTAGACTATAAATACAATAATTATCTGGGAGCATTCCTGTGCGGAGTGCAGTTCTGCCCTGGGATCCTTTAAAATTATTTTTCAGCTGAGATATGGCCTGAGAGGAGAATATTTGCTGTATTTCTAGTGGAAAAGAAGCTTGTGCTAGCTTGTTTGACTATGACAATCAATGTTGCACTTCTCTATAGAAAATGATGCAGATTGGTCCATTATAGTTGTCTTTGGTAAAATGGCCTTGGGGGCATTCTTCTGTTCTCTTGATTATACTTATATTTTGCTTTTCTCTCACAATCCAGCATGGTATAATGGTTAGTGTATTGGATTGTGACCTGGGAGACCTGGGTTTGAAGCTCACAGCCATGATGCTCACTGGGTGGTCTTGGGTGAATTATTGTCTCTCAGCCTAACCTACCTCACAGGGTTGTTGTGAAGAGGGGAGAACCATGCAGAACACCTTGAGTTCCTCAGAAGAAACAGTGATGTATAAATGTAATAAATGCAGTGGTACCTTGGAAGCTGAACGGAATCCGTTCCGGAAGTCCATTTGACTTCCAAAATGTTTGGAAACCAAAGTGCGGCTTCCGATTGGCTGCAGGAAGCTCCTGCAGCCAATCAGAAGCCACAGAAGCCACGTTGAACATTTGGGTTCCAAAGAACGTTCACAAACCATAACACTCACTTCTGGGTTTGCGGCATCCGGGAGCCAAAATGTCCAACTTGCAAGGCATTTGGGGTCCAAGGTACGGCTATAAATAGAAATGACATTGTTTGGGCAATGGATTTCAAACTTCTGCATATGCACTAGCATCAGATGTACAGAGTGTGTTGTGCTGAAACCTAGCCTCCCATTTCTCTAGAGTTTTCTTTCCTTTGAAGGAAGCTTCCACTTTTCTTCCCCATATGATGGACACCTTAGAACAGGCTTCCTCAACCTCGGCCCTCCAGACGCTTTTGGCCTACAACTCCCATGATCCCTAGCTAGCAGGACCAGTGGTGGGAATTGTAGTCTCAAAACATCTGGAGGGCCAAGGTTGAGGCAGCCTGCCTTAGAGTGTCTCTATGATTTCCATGAATTTAAGGAATGAATATATATCTTATTTCTGCAAGGAGTGTGTGTGAGAGAGTTATATCCTTAAATGTTTGTCCACTTTTCTGCAGCACGCATTTCCTGATCCAATAAAGCCCTGTGAAAGAAGTTAAATCATGAAATTTTCCTCTGGGCCTTAACTGAAAGAATGGGAAGCTTGGGAGGGTGGTTCCCCGGTGCCGGAAGAAGCTGCTCTCACTCATTTTGCTTTTAAAGGAAGATCTTCCTTTTATTTACTTTTCAAGAAAATCGGTCTGCATTGATTTCTTGAAAAGCAAACAATACTTCATTTTTAAAATCACTAACTGCACAAATGTCAGGTGCATGGAATGCAACCTCCCTGCATTACCATGCTTGCAAAAAAGCTCAGCTGGGGCGTGATTGCGTTTTCAGGAAGTACAGGCACCTGGGAAGTCAGCAGAAGGCAGACACCTCTGAGAAGAAAGAAAGAAAGAAAGAAAGAAAGAAAGAAAGAAAGTCATTCACAAAGTTATTGGCCACCTCAGAAGTGAGGTAAGTGCAACCATCGCCACCACGTTCCACATGAGAATTTCACCCAAATTTTCCTTTCCTAATTTTAAAATGCAATTTATCTTCTCATTAACTGACGGTTTGGTGGTAGGCGATGGTGGTGCAGAATTTTTTAGACACAGCAATAAGTCTAGCTGCATGCCTAGACCAGGAATGTACTTCCAGACAAACCTAGAGAAGGTACGCAGGACATTAGTGTGTCACATTGAAGAGGGACTGCCTCTAGAGAAGAAGCTCATCTTGCACAACATGCAAATTTTAATCTCATGTTCTCTCCTAGATGCAATTCTTTCAAAGCCTAGACATGAGGCATCTTCTATGATGCTTCACCCCATCCCACCCCACCCAACCCAGTCCCTTTAATTGCCGCCTTCTCCTGAGAGCTCCATGATGCAACACTCTTTTCTTGCCTCTTAGGGTAGCATTTGCAGACCTACATATTTGTAGGCTGCAAGGACTTTGGCTCGGGACACTATTACTTACTTATTTACTTACCTACAACCTTCATATACCAAAGACTAGTTCTAAAATTGCCCTTGCCACCAGTCTCAAGATTCGTTAAGAAAGGCCACAAAAAACCACACACACAAAAACAAAAACGGGATGGGAGAGAGGAGGGCATGTGTGGTCTCCAAATACCTGTGGCGCTTTTAGCAGAATGCTCAGAGTCCCAGGTTCCTTAGTGCAGTAATTATTTATTGTGAGCTAAATATATATACAAATATCTACAGAAGCAGTTCATATAATCAGACAGAGTACCTGCACCTTGAGGCAAAAGAAGACTCCACACTCATCTACACCACACCACCATTACTATTGGACAGGCTTTACTTTTAAACCAGTGACAGCCAATCACATTACTGCTGAGTCATTCCACAGAGAGTATTGCATCAGCCTGTTGCAAACTGAAGCCCGCAGACTTACTTACACAGCATCCTGTGAATCCCAACAAATACTTCATGGATGTGAAAGAACCTCTTATCTTTGTAGCCAATGAGTTATCAGTTGAAAGCTTTGGGAGCAAACTCTTGGAAGGGAACTCTTCCTCCCAAAAAGAAAAAGAAAGAGAGCTCTAACTGACAAGTGATACTGGTTGTAGCACATCTATTTTGCATATCAGCTCTGCAAATGCTGCAATTTGCATTGAGCACCTGAGGGAGGAAGTCTTATTTTTATCCTGCTGTTTCCCAAAGAGGTCAAGGAAGAGCTGCATTTGCAAACGGAAGATCTAGCTCTGTTGTCAAGGAGGCCAGACCCTGGTGGTCTGGGGGCTGTTCTGATTTGGGGAACAGGGAAGATGGAACACTTGTGATCTCATGCCTGAATGTGCCAAGTTGGGAATATGCTATGATCAGTTGCAGAACAGCCTTCCCCAACCTGTTGTCCTCCAGATGTTTTGGACTTCCACTCCCATCTTGCATGGTTGACTGTCTGCAGATGATGGGAGTTGTGGTCTCACAAATACCTGGTGGGCAATAGGTTGAAGTGGGCTAGTCTAGAACATGGCTGATATTTTGGAAAGCAGTTAATATGTGACACAAATCACTATCAAATCAATTTGAGAGTGCCAGCACTGAAAGTTTCTAGATATTGATCACTAGCAGCGCTTTCATGAGAGCAGAGTATATCAGAAGGTCCAGACACTTTTTGGTGTCTCAAAGCAGCAGAGGTGAGAAAGTTCAGAATTAGAGAAGACTCTTGGTTGGAGTTGAAAATCCATTGATGAGATGTTTCCTCCCAGAAAACCCAAATCCCTAAAGTGTATTAAATGTAATCCCCCTTCCAAAAAAACCCACACACAATTTTCTGAATGCCAAGGAGATGCCATTAAAGAGACAGCCTGTGCATAACGAGCAGGGCTTAAAACAAGAAGGGGAGCGGAAAGCCGATTGCCAGACATTAATGGGTCAGTAAGAACAGCACGTAGAAGTCTTGCTCCTTAAAACCAGCCAAGATGTTATAGTCAATTGGCAATGAGTTTGCAGATACTAAAATACTTGCTGAGTTAATTGTCTAGGACTAGGGCAGCAGGGAGGGCAACCCTTTGAAATTCCATTTTGAAACTCTCGATTATGTGAAATTATGAAAGTGCCTCAAAGAGAGATGAGCTAGAGATTGGGTGAACCACTTGGAGCAATGGCTCTTTCCGAAAGAGTTGGAATTAAATCATTATTTGCAGAGGCAAAGTCTCCTGACTTGAAATCTGTCAATGCACAGATGTTCAGAGTGAAGATAATAATGTCATAGACATGCCCTCCTCTCCCTCTCTCCCTCTCTCCCTCCCTCCCTCTCTCTCTCCCTCCCCCAAAAGCTATTTCAAAGAAGTTGCAATTGCCTCATTAGTTGCAGACCAGAGCTCTTGAACATCATTGTACATGATGTTCTTGAACATATACAAATGACTTCCTGAAGATATACTAGATTTTGGGCAGGTTGTTGAAAATAAGTGAATTAGCAGGGCTAACTTGAATAGCCCAAATATGCTGTTTGCATTTATTTTCACAGCACTTTTAAGCACTGTTCAAACTACTAAAGTTAGTCATAGAATTATAGAGCTGGAAGGGACCTCAAGGGTCCTTGAGTCCAACCTTCTGCAATTCAAGAATCTCAGCTAAATAATCCCTCTCAAATGACCATCCAACCTCTGCTTAAAAACCTCCAGCGAAGGAGAGTCCACCACAGTCTGAGGGTGTCCATTCCACTGTCAAGTAGTTCCTACCACCAGAAATTTCTTCCTAATATTTAGTCAGAATCTCCTTCCTTGTCACTTGAATTCATTGGTTCAGGTCCCACCCTCTGGAGCTACACCGATTCTGTGAGTTTGACTGGGTTTTTTGTTTTCTCTTCCATACAGTAATGGCCCATTGGGATAGGTCTGTTTTTCCACAGCAGAGAAGAGGGCATACTGGGAGGAATAATGGCTTACCAGGACTTGGCCTATTGCATTTCCATGCATGCTTTGTTAAATTTGGCTTTGTGTGTTTGAGGTTCCTCCACCCCCCCCTCCAACCGCAGGATAACTTTCCCATAAAGATAGATCACAGCTGACAGTTTTCTGGCAGAATGATCGCTTATGTGGTACGATCAAATGGCCACCACTGGGCCCTTAAATTAAGCTGTGCCCCATCCCAGAAAACAATAAAGATGTTTGTTTGTTTAGGGCAAGTTGCCGACTTGTAAAGAATAATTCTGAAAATTCTGGTTTTCAGCCTTGTTTATCCATTTGTCACATTGATCCACTTCAGTCTAATATGAAAAGACAGCTATGGTGAGCCCTGCTGTTGAAAAACATGGTGCAGTGCTTGTGAGTAATCAGGAATGCCAAACACCCACCGCCCCACACAAAGAACAAGAAGTCAATAATGGAAAGAGCAACGCTTCTCTTGAATTGCTTTGCACCCAAGGGTGAAACAACAGGCTCCAATCAATAAGAGACCGGTTGCAACATCTCTTGAATGCTCTCTTCCTCTGAACGCAAACCATTGCTCAGCGCTATCCGCTTATGCCCGCTGAGGGGATTGAAGAAGTCTGACTTGCGCTTTAATGAGAGAGGTCCTCCTGACTTCCCCTCTGTCTTGCAAGCATTCAAAGCGCAGATCCATCTGTGCACACAACCTCTCTCCAGCTGTGCTTTGCAAGGAGGGTGGCGCCAAATTTGATGTCGCCTTCCATCCAACTGGCATAGGTTAGCACTGCTATGGGGCTGTTAGTCAGGCTCCTCATCTTTTGCATTGGACCCCTCTTTGAAACCTTGCAATTTGCGCTTACAGAATATAAGTAGATCTGAGGGTGCCACAGATGCCGTCCCAACTCAGTACATGGGAATTGCTTGTTTTTAATATATATATATATAATATCCATAGTAGCCATGCTCATATTTCATTTTCGGATAATAAAAATGAACTTGGCTCAGGGCATTTCCTGGGGATTAATGGCTGGCTGAGGTTAATGGGCCTTGGCTATGCTCTGGGCCATCAACTCCTCCCAGCTGGTCATTAATCCGCAGGAAATACCCAGCACCAAGATGATTATATACCTTCATGTGGGTTCTTCTTTCCGAGCAGAATTCAGGAGCCCTCGGCGCCTGCTGCTTTTAGCCACAGTTAGAGCTTACAGCACTTACAGGCTTCAAATGTTTGCTGGCATTTCCGCTTAGTGGCAGCCCAAGAGTGCTGTGCTTCAGAGCTTTTTCAAAGAGCACCTACAGAATGAGTAGAGAATGAGCACTCAGCCTGCCGGGCTGCTAGGTGACCTGCTGATTGAGGCAGCTTTACCAGCATGGACAACGTCTGGGTAGGATAGCCTGTGGACCGGAGTTCTGCTTCCTTTGCACGGCGTGCAGACGAAAGCCACACAAGCAAGCTAAAAAAAGCACAGTGAGATACGTTTTCATTTGCAAGGAGAGAGTGAGCAGTCCTGGTTTTTAGATCTTTGGGAGACTTTTGAATGTTATGATGATCTGACGGGAGCAGAGAGGAAAGGAAAAAGTGGAAGAACAAAGTGTATCTGTTATGTACTGAGTTGAATAGGATCCAAAATGTAGCAGTCTGATTGGTCCTAGAACAATAGGATCCAAAATGCAGCAGTCTGATTGGTCCTAGAACAATGCAGCAGCATGATTGGTCTGCAGGAGCCACCCAATCTGGCTCCAGATGGAAGTGAATCCACAACCTGATTGGCCTACAGGAGAATTCCAGAATTAGCCAATCACATGCAGCCCATTGTGTAAATAATGTATATAAAGCAGATACTCTGAGGGGACTTCCATTCCTCCTCACCACTATGAGCTGAATAAAGAGCATGAAATCTACTCTCGACTCTTGAGTATATTTCAGTATCTAAGATATACAAAGTCCAACTGATGGATTTAATTTTTATTTATTTATCACATTTATATCCCACCTTTACTCCAAGGTGGCATACATGGTTTTCTTCCTATTTTACCCTCGCAAGAACCCTGTGAAGTAGGTTTGGCTGAGAGACTGTGACTGGCTCAAGGTTACCCAGTGAGGACTCACCCACACCTCCCTTGGTCTGGCAATTTCTTCTGTTTGCCCCATGATTTCTAGACACGGGTCCGGGAGGTGAGTTATTTGACCCACTTCCTTCCCATAGCTGTCACCTTTTCCCTTTTCTTGTGAGGAATCCTATTCGGAATAAGGGAATTTCCCTTTAAAAAGGGGAAACGTTGACAGCTATGCTCCTTCCCTGGAAAAGCCCACTGATTACTGCTGAATCGGAACAAAACATCAATCTGCAGAAACCCCAATTGATATTTGTTCTGATTCATCCTTAAATTGTGGGTTTTCCTGGGGAAAAGTAGAGGGACAAAGAAAAAACTTTGAACTCTTGTCTCTCAGGCACCAGTCCAACACTCTAACCACTACACAATGTTGACTCTCACACCATACTGATATCAATCCCATTAATATCACTGAGTCCTACTCTAACTAAAGTTGGATGCAACTCTGTGTCCAAAGCAAAAAGAGCAATTTCTCCCTGCATCAATACAATATTCAGGTCTTATGTCAAGCCACCTCCACACCTTACATTTCAAGCACTCTTATACCACTTTAATATAATAATACATAACAAATAAATATTCAAATGTCTTAATCATCTGCTCAAGAATTTTCCAGGGCAACGTACAGAAATGTCAAACATACAGAGTTTAAAACTGCACAATAAAACAATTAATCCATAGACATTAAAAACACACCCCAGAAAATTATAATCAATACGGGCAATTAACCAACAACAAATCAAGAACTAATGTTCAGTAGAAACAACCCATTGCATGCCATGGAATGTCTGAGAGTAGAGCAGAGTTTTAACTTGACACTGAACATATAGTAAAATTGGTGCTAGATGAGTCTTGCTGGAGAAAGCAAAACATAGATGAAGGGCCACAACCAAAATGGCCCTCCTCCTTATTGCCAGTCCTTGAATCTTGAAACAAATGTTTATGTGCACTGGTGAGACTGGTAATTCTGGACCCCAGGTTCCCATTACCAGAACATGCCGCAGTTAGCCTCAGCCTTGCACCATTCCTTTCCCTCCCTGAAAGGAGACAATCAATTTCCAGGCATTTTTTGCAAAAAGCAAAAGTTTCCCATGTTGATGGAACACAGAAAAGTGGTCCATGCAAGCCACAGTTGCCTGTTTTGTGGTGGGAAACTTCAGCTCTGTAGACAAATGATGGAGATGGGGGGGGTGAGCCAGAGGGGAGTCCATTGACTTCACCCCTTCGGTCACATCACAGCTACAGTTCTGCACATGTTGCAGAGGCAACTTGAGAAGCGGGGATCTTGCCATCCTCAGAGCTACTCCCTGCACGGTCGGGGCTGCAGGACAAGTGAGATCATCCCCACTCTCTCCACCCAAGCAATTTCCATAGCATGCTTTTAAATGCCTGAACAGAGCTTATGGATTTGTTACAAATTGTGGCCGGAAGCTTCAGATTTCCTCCACTTACATGCAAAGGGAGATAGGAGCATGCAAGCCTGAGGCTTGCCATGACACAGTCATACAATACTAAATCATGGTTTTGTGTTCTGTCTGAATTTAAACCCCACACACATCTTTAAAACCAACAAATCTGAATAAAGCCTGAATTCTTGTCTAGAAGCACAGAAATGGAATAATGCTTTTTTTTAATCCAATTTTTTACACCAGGGTTTAGCAACTCTTTTCTATTAATGCTTTTACTGCTGTGCACTTTCAGTCACTAGCATGGTGTGTGTGTGTGTGTGTGTGTGTGTGTGTTGTTTGCTTTGGACTGGCAACCTGAAAAGGAAAAAGTTGCTTTTATTTTTACCTCTCTGATGATCAAGCATTACTCTATTAAGAGATAATATTTGTAAACGAGTGGATGAATGCACAGCCTCAGAAACAGCAGGCTTTTTCCTCAGTACAGACGTTTCTGGTGATGTGAGAAAATGATCCAATGTCATCTCTAGGCTAAGCAAGCAGGACAGAAGAAGGGCAATGCCTTACTTCTATAAATGCTTGTGTTCACCAATATCATGGTCCTCACTATGAAATCAAGGCCTTACAAAAACGTCTGCCCAAACAAGGTTGCTTTAACTTGGGCTCCATCATGCCACTTTTAACAGTCATAGATTCCCCTCAAGAATCCTAGGGAGCATAGTTTGTTATGAGTGTTGAAAGTTGTTAGAAAACCCATAGTCCCCTCACAGACCTACTATTCCCAGAGTTCCCTGGGAGAAGGAATTGATAGCTGCCCATTTTGAGAAACAGATGCTGAACTTGATGGACCTTTAGTCCTTTTAGCAGGACTCTTCTTAAGTTGTTTTGGACCTCCCAGTGTAAAAATTGCAGACACAGAGGAATGGAAGCCTTTTCCAGACTATTCAAAGAAACATTATAGTATGATGAATTCGTGAGCAGGATACGAACTATGAGCAACAGCAGGAATTAGAGGTTACTGTATCATTGTCATGATACAAAAGATATAAGATAGGGTGCAGCAAAGGGGAGAAATAAAAAACACAATTGAAAATGGGATGAGAGGTTGAACCCCCAAAGAGAAAACTCTATTATGTATTGGAATGTATATGTGATTTTTTTTTTGAAAATTTAATAAAATATAATGGGGAGGGGGGGATGCAGACAAAACAGTGGTGCAATCCATTTAATGGCAGGATTTTTTTAAAAAAAGCATAGTTATTGTTTTGTTTTAAAGCATAGAAAATTAAAAAAATGTTTAATCTTGCCTTAGATCACCTATCTTGACTAGCGTTGAGGAAGAAACCCATAAGTGAATTAGCTGGTTCAAGGAAGGAAGATGGGTGAATGACTTGCCATCTCTAAAAGGAGAATTATAAACAGAACCTGAGGCTAGAAAGGTCTTGTTTTCCTCAAGTTATCTATAATTTAGGATCCTCCTCCAATTCCCACCAGGTCCCTCGGAACATATTTATTTAGCTACGCCAAGCTTGGCTGCTAGGTAATAAACACAGTTTGTGAACTGTGGATGTCAGAGGCTCAGATCTCCGAATAAAGAACACTTCCTCTTGTAATTAAACTTCAGATGGGTCAGTTTACCTTCCTGGCCTTGTAAGCAGCGCAACTTGACTTCTGTCACACTCCACATCTTTCTAAAGAATGACCTTTTGTTCTTCCTGGCATTTAATGAACTGTTAAAATAAGACCTGGCATAAAGGGGGCAGTTGTATAACATTGTGCATCCAGGCAGCACTTAATAACAGCCTCAACGAGAAAAATAAGTAAATACAGAACCCATCACCTGCCTTGTTTTCACACAGGTTCACAACATATAAGAAACAATAACTTTTCACATCCGTTTAGGCAGTTTAGGGCATCTATGGCCAACATGGTTGTAGTCCTAGAGTGTGCCTCTTTTCTGTAAAAAATATTCCGTTATGAAATGACTAACCCACATCACAAAATGACAGGCTCATATTTACTTGTTTGCCATATTAAAGAAATGATCACTAAATATTTCGGTTGTCAAATATGATTCATAAAGAATATGTGCGGGAAAGGGGTGCCAAATTTCTAATATTGAGAAACATTCACATAGTCGCTCCAAATTTTGAATAAGTTCAATTCAAGGCTCCGCCATCTGGACCTGGGGAAATGGGCAAGTACATTGAGCCACACTACTAGATGCTCACAATTGACCTCAGGGGTGAGGAACATCAGGCCTGGGACCCAAATGCATCTCTAGATCATTCTTGGGACTCTCTCCAGGCTGCACACCCTCTAAAGCCACTACCACGACCCCTCGGTGGTCCTGTTTTGCACCACCCTTGAGGTTTTTTTGCCCGGCTGGGATGCATTCTTAAACATTAGGAAGAACTTCCTGACAGTAAGAGCTGTTCGACAGTGGAATTTGCTGCCAAGGAGTGTGGTGGAGTCTCCTTCTTTGGAGGTCTTTAAGCAGAGGCTTGACAACCATATGTCAGGAGTGCTCTGATGGTGTTTCCTGCTTGGCAGGGGGTTGGACTCGATGGCCCTTGTGGTCTCTTCCAACTCTATGATTCTATGATTCTATGATTCTAACTCTCACAATACACCTTGCTAGTCAGGAAGGAAGGCAGATAGGCTTGTGTGTTGCTGTAGAAACTAACCTACTGTACAAACATAAATTTTATGGTTGTTGATCCACCCAATTTTTGTCTCTCGCTCCGCCTATCACTGACATGCTGCCCACAAGGAAACGCAGCTGCGCTGTAGCCCGGGGCATCTCACTTTACCCTGTAGCATAACACAAGCAGGGAAGCCGGTTTTAGCATTCTGGCACAGCTTCCCACCCCCCTCTCCTCTCCGTCAAATCCAATCCAAATGTTTTCCCTTTGCTTATACTCTTGAGCTCTTTATATCTGTCATTCATGGCTGTGCCGGTTTCTCTGTTTAGCAGCAACATGCTGTGGGCCTTCCTTGGGTCAATAAGAAAGCCTCTGATCTTTGAAGTGCCACTGAGCGTAAGATCTGAATGCGGGAACCAGCACAGCAGAAGCTGGCAGGTCTGGGGAGACCCTGTTATAGGTGTGTGTGTGTGTATGAGAGAGAGAGAGAGAGAGAGAAGGCTTATATGGTTTTTTCCCACCTCCATGTGCATAGGGAACAATCCATAAACTCAGAGGCATAGCCACAGTCTGGTACTGCTGGCTGTGATTTGAAACACTAACTCAAGCACAGAATGCAATATCTCATTGCCTTGCTATAGTCTATAGGTAAAGGTAAAGGACCCCTGGACGGTTAAGTCCAGTCAAAGGTGACTATATGGTTGCAGCGCTCATCTCGCTTTCAGGCTGAAGAAGCTGGCGTTTGTCCACAGAAAGCTTTCCGGGTCATGTGGACAGCATGACTAAACCGCTTCTGGCGCAACGGGACACCATGGTGGAAACCAGAGTGCACAGAAACGCCGTTTACTTTCCTGCCGCAGTGGTAACTATTTATCTACTTGTACTGGCGTGCTTTTGAACTGTTGGGTTGGCAGGATCTGGGACAGAGCACCGGGAGCTCACCCCGTTGTGCGGATTCAAACTTCCAACCTTCTGGTTGACAAGCCCAAGTGGCTCAGTGGTTTAGACCACTCCAGAAGGTGCGGGGAGATTAGGAGGGGCTGTTCTGTTTGATGGCCCCACAAGGCTAGAGAGGGCTGGAGACCACAGAGCTGATCAGTCCCCACAATGCAGGGAATCAGTATTTCCATGTGAGGAGGATGCTTTTTCAACCCAAGGAGTGCATTTCCCCATGGAGAACCTACCAAAGGCCACACAAAGGTGGGCACAGCTAAAGACAAAGATGTGCAGAAAGATGCTGCATAGTAGCCTCACAAAAGTCAGAGGAGTGTGTATATGTTTGTGTGTTTAAGGATATATTCCAGCCACTCAAAAGCATTGACTCCCAGTCAAAACGTGGCAGCAGGTGCACTTACTTGTAAGTAAATAAGCCTGGAAAAGAGGAGATCGAGAGGAGATACGATAGCTGCCGCATGGGAGATGGAGCAAGCTTGTTTTCTCCTGCGCTGGAGGGTAGGACTCGAACCAATGGCTTCATGTTTGATAGTGGAACCGTCTCCCTCGGGAGGTTTTGGACTCTCCTTCCTTGGAGGTTTTTAAGCAGAGGTTGGATGGCCATCTGTCCTGGATGCTTTTGCTGAGATTCCTACATTGCAGGGGGTTGCACTAGAAAGATGACCCTTGATTCTATGATTCTATATTTATCAAAGCAGATTAATGGTACAGACTCAACACCAGGTCAATACAGCCCAGGAGCAATTACAAGGTGGAGAGTTGACGTGGATGAACCCAGCCTAGGAGCAAGGCCAAAGTTCACAAGGCCAACATTGGTAACAAGGAATTCAAGACTGTCCAGGAGCAGTAGAGCTGTCCCAACCAGTTTCCCTGCCCACCCGCCAAGCTTTTAAGCAGATGTAGGGAGCGTTCACCTACTCACAAGAATCTCTATTCCTATGTGTAAATTGACTTTAATTAATATAACTCCCTTCCTGAATTCCACCGTAACTATCTTCCTCCACCCATTCATCCTTAGAGCAAGGCCACTGACCCATCCATTTTATGAGTACACAAGAATGCATCACAACTAGCTCTGAAACAAAGCTAGAAGTTCAAAAATACAGGTTCTTTTATTTCAAAAAAGTGATTTGGTTTCAAAAAAGAGGATTCCAAGTGAAGCTTCCTGGTTCTTGCTAATGTTGTTTGCTTTGCTCTGCTTCATTTCCCCCACCCACCCCTTTTTGTTTTAATGTTTAAGCTGCCAGTTCCCAAAGAGCCTCATTAAGGGGTTGGAGCCTTGGAAGAACAAATTAATTCAGAAAGGTGATATTCTAGTTTTGGTGCCTGTCTTTGAGTGTGCGATGGCATGGCAGCAATAACAGGAGAGCGGGAGAGGGAGGGAAAGAGGAGACAGGGGAAAGACCCTTCATAGAAACCCCGAGAGATGCACAAAGAGAGGGCAGAGGCATGCATTCCTCAGCAAGAAGCCAGAGCCTAATTAGCAGCCATGAAATGAGCAAAGATGAAGTGAATAATCTGCCAGGGAAGTACAGTATAAGTCCATTCTGTAAACATAGGCTGGTGATTCTCAACGTAGGTGGCAACCTACATTAGGGCAGTGAAGCGGGGACTTCTTCCTGGAAATTCCCATTCATTTGTGGATTGGAACAATAAGTAGAAGGAACATTAACTCATCCCCATAAAAGTGCAGTAGATGACACTGTGTGTTCCATCCTTCGCTTGATTCCCAATGTATGGAGTCATTGTGGAAAGTCTGATTTCCCTAAGGGTTTCCTAAGAATACAACTTGGATCAAAGTGTACACTTACACCAAACAAAATGTTCTACTAAAACTGCAGGAAGCTGTATCAAAAGCTGCATATCTATATCATCTATCTATCTATCTATCTATCTATCTATCTATCTATCATCTATCATCTATCTTAAAAAGTAGAGACATCACCTTGCCAACAAAGGTCCGTATAGTAAAAGCTATGGTTTTCCCAGTAGTGATGTATGGAAGTGAAAGCTGGACCATAAAGAAAGCTGATCGCCAAAGAATTGATGCTTTTAAATTATGGTGCTGGAGGAGACTCTTGAGAGTCCCATGGACTGCAAGAAGATCAAACCTCTCCATTCTTAAGGAAATCAGCCCTGAGTGCTCATTGGAAGGACAGATCCTGAAGCTGAGACTCCAATACTTTGGCCACCTCATGAGAAGAAAAGACTCCCTGGAAAAGACCCTGATGTTGGGAAAGATGGAGGGCACAAGGAGAAGGGGACGACAGAGGATGAGATGGTTGGATAGTGTTCTCGAAGCTACCAGCATGAGTTTGACCAAACTGCGGGAGGCAGTGGAAGACAAAAGTGCCTGGTGCGCTCTGGTCCATGGGGTCACGAAGAGTTGGACACGACTAAACGACTAAACAACAACAACAATCTATCTATCTATAGTGAAATCAGTCGCATGTTTATTAAGCAAATGTTACATTTTGCAAATTCGCTATCAGAGCAATGCTGGTTCTTGTGATACTGAACTGATATTAAAAGCAGGCAGCCAATCTTGTTCAGTCCCACAATAGTGCTATTTTATGCCAACAACACCAGTTACTCCTCACATCCCGATGCAGTGCAAATGTGAGAACATACACAACAGCACAGTGCTTTTGCATCATTTACAGCACAATCCTATACATACATAATACTATTCTCAGCTTAAGTGTGTAAAACCAAAAGCTGCAGTCCCAGTCTCATCTTCTCAGAAGTCTCATTGAACAACCCCAGGTCAGTGGGGTTGGGATCCCGGCCTAAGACTACCAAACCTATGATGCAGTGCATATCTAAACAGAAACATGCACACAATACTTAAATTCAAGATCACAATTGAGAAAAAAACAGTGAAAATAATTTCCCCCAAAAAAATAGGCAATAGAAAGGGAGCCGGGCAAATAAAATTGGAAATGGATTTTTCTTTCTAATGCTGGCAGACAAATCTTTGGCCTTATTGGGGTGGTGGGTGGGTGACAAAGTACAACGGCATTGTCTCTGCATACCTGAAAACCTGCGAAACCCACACAAATACACCAAAGTGCCAAAATTTTTATCTTTTCAGCAGCAGGTGAAATCCTCATTCTTTGCCCACGCTTTTCAGCTTTTCTTAGTTTGTGTTCTCATCCTCCCGCCTCTTGCATTTTTAGAAGTACGTGTGGTTTTAATGTTTAACGCAGGTATAAATAGTAGGAAGAAAAGGAAATGCAGGCAGGCACATTTTGAGGCCCAATCTGTGTGCATAACTAGCAATCTCCATGTAATTTGAAGAAAATAAGCTTAAATCATAGAGGAGTTTGAGTAAGTTATTGATATTGCCAGAGAAAGAGAAGTGGGGGAGAGGCTGTGATTCACCGACACTTTCCCACTTGGTGGGCTCTTTTTTTTGTAAGATGTTTTCTATGTGTCTCAATCCCACTGCTGGGGAATCACACGTGCTGTGTGATTTGTATGCGTGGTTCCCCATCCAGCTAGGGATGCACACACAGAAGTCTACTTACATGTGCATATGGCCCAAAGGTGCATCCAGGGAGAGATGCTTTTGGTTTTCATTCATTTTGGAAAGCACAGAGTCCAATAGATGAATCTCTTGGTGGTGGTGGTTGATTTTTTGTATGTGTGTGTCTGTGCAAGTCCCACAATATGAAGAGATCTTGCTTTGCATACCTTAAGGAGCAGGAGCAGAGTTGGGGGTGGGAATCGAGAGTGGACAGAGAAAAATGGTCACAAGCAAGATACGTATTAATGAAAAATATTTGTCCTCCTGCAAGCAGGAGCATTGGGATGCAAATGAGACAGCTGCGTTCTTTAATTGCAGCTGGATTAATAAAATGTAATTTTTACAACCCATTTGCAACAGACCGCTGGGGAATACATTTTATTACCACTCTGGGTGTCTTCTAGTTAATAAATTCGTGTCTTCTGAGCATAAGCGTTTGGCTTCAAATCCCAGATACAAGTTTATTAAAATTGTAATAGTTCTTGGAGACTATAAAATGAAATGAAGTGCACAAAATGTACATTTCCAGCACATGGCTCTCAAGCCATTTTTTACATGACTAATTTCCATGTTTCTGGCCTTGGCAGTGTGGTGTGGTTGAATTTAAATAATAAATATTTAACCAGCCACAGATATTGGTCTACGTGCATTTCAAATGTGGGCCGTTTTAGCCCCCTTTGCAATCTTATTTAAGGTTTACATTTCATAGAATCAAAGAATTGTAGAGTTGGAAGAAATCTGAGGGTCATCTAGTCCAAACCCCTGCAATGCAGGAATCTTAGGATGTGGTGGTTCTCTGGTTCAGCCAGCATAAATCCTCAAGCCCTGACTCAACCAGAGATATGCTGCCCCAAATCCTTCATCCTGGCTTAGCTGAAACTCAGGGGGCTGAGTTGTGCCCTGGAAAAGGAGTGTTCCAGGGGCGTGGTTGAGCCAGGACCAGAGGAGGGAAACTTAGGTTGGTTGGATACTGTGTGCATTCAGTTTGGTCATGTTGGTATAAGTTAAGCTGGCAATGTTTGGGAAGCTGAAGAAGCTTGATCTTCACTCAGTAGAACAACGTTGGCAAAGTGTTTCCTAAGTTTTATTGACAGAAGTCTGATAGAGAGTCATGTTGAACACATGGAAATGTTCACCGCCTTCTGCTCTGGTAGGTTTCTGCAGTGCATAGGCTTTCTTCCACACATGCACAGTATCTGTCATAAAGATGAGCATTTCCTTAATAATGGATATGTTCTTGTTTGATTGGGATGCGGGTGGCGCTGGGGGTAAAACCTCAGCGCCTAGGACTTGCCGATCGCATGGTCGGCGGTTTGAATCCTCGTGACGGGGTGAGCTCCCGTCGTTCAGTCCCAGCTCCTGCCCACCTAGCAGTTCGAAAGCACCCTTAAGTGCAAGTAGATAAATAGGTACCGCTTTATAGCGGGAAGGTAAACGGCGTTTCCGTGTGCTGCGCTGGTGCCGGTTCGCCAGAGCAGCCACGTGACCCGGAAGTGTCTGCGGACAGCGCTGGCTCCCGGCCTCTAGAGTGAGATGAGCGCACAACCCTAGAGTCCGTCAAGACTGGCCCGTACGGGCAGGGGTACCTTTACCTTTACCTTTCTCTTGTTCGATATTTGCAGAGCTTTAGACTCTAAAGTACATCTTGGTGTACAAACATAATTAGTGCCTTCCTACTGACAGAGGAAGAAGATAGCTATACTTTGCTAATTTCTTTAAGATGAGCCAGTCAATAGTTTCTTCATATTGATTGACACACATCTCCTCTAACCTTTACTCAGGAGCTCACTTCAATTAATTATAGCATCTTGGTGCTATTTTGTCCTTTGCAATATTCTTGCCAATGATTCTTTTGCATTCAACCCTTGATCCTGATGTTTACTGGTATTCATTTCCTGGTATTTGAACAGAAATGGTTCATAGTCCAGTTCCCGGCATTGCCTGCTGGTCTGGGGAAAACACCTGTCTAAAACTCTGAAACCCTGCCAATCAGTGTGGGCAGTACTAAGCTAGGTGGGTGGTCTGACTTTGTAGAAGATATCTTCTTGTAGTGGTCTTTTGTGTTCCAACCAAATGGATATTGGACAGTGTCGGTATGTGCAGGAGAATTTAATACCCCACTTAGAAGGTACCACTATGTTTTGATGTGAGGAGAAGGTGCGTGGACTTTCCTCCTGTGACTATGTCTTGCCAAATGCAATGTGGTTCTTTTGTTTATGAGATTCAGAGGCACTGCAAACACAAGTGAGTGAGACGATTAAAGATTTTATTCTAAACAGCAAACATTAAATACATTATCAAGCAAGCCCTTCAATCTGCCACTTGGCAGCCCTCAAGAAGTCGTGAAGCGACTCCCCCAGGTAGCCTTAGTTTGCACATAAATGATCGATCAGTCCGTGTGTGAGCTTCTCAAAAACTATGCCCAACACCATCCGATTTATAGATAGCTAACCTGTGTGGTTTGCCTGGCTGCCTACATGCTACTAGCTACATACAGATTAGCCACCTCTCCCAATGCTTCACTTTCTTCAAACAATGTCCAACATCAAAAGAAGGTACCCAACAATATCACTTCCTTCCAGCAGATTAGAGGCATTAAAGGCTGCTCTTCAGCCATCAAAGAGCTTAACAAGAGATAGAGATGGGGAAGCAAACAGAGGCAGGAAAGCCAGGAGACCATGTTAGATCACCATCTCCTCGAAATACAAATATCTTCTGGCTAAATTGCCCATACAGTCTAGAAGGCACTGCTTGACACAACCAGGATGACACAGTGAAGGGCTTCATGCATCATACTTGGAGAGGACCTACCAATGCCTCACAGTGGCTTATCACGTCCATTGGCTTGTAAAGGTAAAAGTAAATGACCTCTGACAGTTAAGTCCAGTCGTGAACGGCTCTGGGGTTGCGGTGCTCGTCTCGCTTTACAGGCCGAGGGAGCCGGCATTTGCTTTCGCAAACAGTTTTTTCTGGGTCATGTGGCCAGCATGACTAAGCTGCTTCTGGTGAAACCAGAGCAGCGCACGGAAATGGTGTTTACCTTCCCATCAGAGCGGTACCTATTTATCTACTTGCACTTTTTTGGTGTGCTTTTGAACTGCTAGGTTGGCAGGAGCAGGGACAAAGCAAGCCACCACATCTTTCCCAGGAGAGATGCGGGGCTCGGGCACGCTGCAGGCCCCGCGGTGAGTGTAGCCCAGCATTTTGTCACCCCCCCTCAGTGGTGACACCTGGGGCAGACCGCACCCACCGCACCCCCCTTCCTCCACCCCTAGCAAGAGCATGTCCCTTCTGCTGGCAGGTTGATCCTTCCCAGGTGCACTACATATGCAAAAACAGTTAAAATATTTGCATATATAAAAGCAGTTTTTAAAAAACTACTACATGCTTTTAAAAAATAAACGATTGTATGTATAAAAGAATTGCAAATAAATCCATGTAAGGACCTCCACTTAGAGACAAAAAAAATCTCTTTTGAAGCCTTATTGAAAGAGCAAAGGTCAAATTCCTCAAGAAGTCAGCACCACACTCACTTCCCCTCTCATCTCGTTCACAGACAATGCTGCTTATTCTTGAGATACTTGGAAGACATGGATTGGCCTGACCTAGTGCTTTGCAGAAGAGGCCTCTAAGTAAGGTAATGATGGAGCTAAGGCTTATTTTATAAGTGGTATGTTGGGGCTATGTGCTCCTACTTGAATCCTGTGCTATCCGACTTGGAAGCCCCAGATCCTATTACGTGAGCCATGAACATGCGCCATGCTTGATGCGGAACACTCTCGCATGATGAGGTTCACCTGGCACCCTCATTAACCTCTTTAGGTAAGAACTCATCTCTTCGCCCAGGCATTCATGTTTATTTGCTTTGCTGGTATTTGACGCAACTTATGTGCACTTAACTCGTTTGCATTCAGCTTTATGCGCTTGGGGAGGGGGGAGTAAAGGCGGATGGAAAGGGGGCTGGCATTCAGGAATAAAGACATTGGCTATGCTACCCACCACTGAACTGAATCTGTTTTGACTATATACAATTTTGGCTTCACACAATATCCCCAGATGTAGCCTTCGTGTAAGCTGAGAGTCACCTGCTGTTTGACTGAGTTATTGTATGACTTTTATTGTACTGTGCTGCTCTTTTTTCTGATTTTATGTCATGCTTTATGCTTTTAAAATTTTGTCAGTCACTTGGAGAGTTGTTGCTTGAATTATTATTATTATTATTATTATTATTATTGACAATGACTTCTTAGAGACATTTATTACTTCTCATATTGTGGGGTGGAAACTTATAAGGCAGAAAGCTAAGCTCTGGTGATATTTGGTGATCCTTGGTTCAAAAGTTCGGAATCTATGCTCTTCAGTACACCCCACACAGATGTTTATGGCACCTCTTTAGTGAGGGAAATGCACTCCCTGTATGCTCAGAGGCATTGTGTTCTACAACTAGCTTGTGGAGAGACCCCACCACCACCAAAATGACCCCAAGAAACCCCTGATATAAGAATGAGCCCAGGCTGATGGGAAGCTGCTTTTGAACAAGACATTAGTTTATGCACTGGTCTCAGATTGGAAGATTTATTTACAATTGGTACCAAGTGCATGTTAAACCGTGTGGCATAACCATGTGATTTCAAGATACTGCGGATTGTGGAGATACTTTGGGGCAATTGTGGTTGTCTTAGACACATGGGAAACCACAAGTCTCCTTGTCCTTCTTGATATTGCAAGGCATTCCTTCTCTGTGTGCAGCATGCTGCAAACTTTCAGACTGGCGGGTGTAGCTTGGCTTTTGGTCCATCTCAGCCTGTCATTGGACTTGTTCTTAGATGGCTACCTTCCCAAGAAAACAGATGCTCCTTGTTGCTTGCATTGCTCTGAAGCACTTTGTACTGCATGCCAGTGGATGACAAATGTCAGTGGTGACAGTAATCGCTTCCATGTATCCTGAACACAGATTTTCCTTAGAGTCTAAGGCAGTTTGCAAGCTGCTCCTCTACATCCTGCTATAGCAGAGCTTGTACATTGCCCTAACCCATGGGTAGGCAATCTAAAGCCCAGGGGCCAGATCCAGCCAAATCGCCTTCTAAATCCGGCCTGCAGACGGTCTGGGAATCAGCATGTTTTCACATGAGTAGAATGTGCCCTTTTATTTAAAATGTCTCTCTGGGTTATTTGTGGGGCTTGCCTGGTGTTTTTATACGAGTAGAATGTGTGCTTTTATTTAAAATGCATCTCTGGGTTATTTGTGGGGCATAGGAATTTGTTCATCCCCCCCAAAAAAAAAAAATATAGTCCTGCCTCCCACATGGTCTGAGGGACAGTGGACCAGCTCCCTGCTGAAAAAGTTTGCTGACCGCTGCCTAACCCATGTTGTGGAACTCCCAGTGTATGGAAGTTCACCAAATTACCCCTTCCCTTCCTTTTAGGATGCTCATTTTCGTGGCATAGGCTAATTTCTGGAATCAGAGATCTGAACACAATTTCTTCCCAGTTTCTCAGTTGCATGTTTCAATTGGATGGTTTCAAGGTCTTTGGACAGCATGTTTGGATGGAATAGTTTGAACAGGTTTGATGAATTGATTGCATTTAATTATTTTTGTCAATATGGTTGAAATCCAGTGAGAAGGTAGGTACTTTCCTTTGCAATTTTCAGAGTGATAGCACCATATCAGTGCTGCATCTTTGGGGATGTTTAGAACCAGGTCCATGCCGAGATTGTCTGATGCCCAGGGTGGGAGTCTTGTTAGAATAAAGTTATAAACTAAAACAACGTAAGTCTGCCAGGCCCATGACAGTCCCCCCCCCCCGACTTAGACCTTCGAGGCCTGGGGTAAGTGTACCCAGCTCCCCCCACCCTGTCTGCACAGGCCTGGTTAGAATACTGGTGTTTCAAGTCAGTTGCCACTCACAACAGCCTTGATCAGCAATACAAACCCAGTGCAGATTTGGGTTTTAGCCAGAACAGCTCCACACCAGCAAATTCCGCCATTGAAAGTTCTGGTTGGCTTTCAATGCATTACTGAGCTGAGTTCAAGGTGCAATCCTGTTCCCCCAGAAGTCAGCATGAAGCAAGCTGGTGTAAATTAAGCCAGCGTAATGTTACACCAGACCCAAACCCTGTTCAGCAAGGGGACGGCTGCTGCTGCTGCTGCTGCATTGCCCAAGCTTGGCAGTGGGGAAACAAGCCTTTAAAGTAGTGTTTTGTGCCAGGATTCCAGGTCACATGACTGAGTTGAATGAGCTTAGGCTGCTCCTATCCCCAAAATGTCTTTTCTTGGGTTAGGGGACTTACAGCAGCCTTGGCTCAGCTAACTGAGCCCTGGCTTACCTGGAATGACCAAGTTATGCTGGTCCAAGGCTGGAGACTTAACACTGGCTGAGCCTGACTGGGCTGGGCATTGATTGGCTGAGCCAGAGATCCACTACATCTAAACTGCTCATTCCAGCAGATTGTGCCATAGGAATTCTCCCTTAGTCAATAAAGCCCTAAACAGCTGAAGACCAGGTTACCTATAGGACCAACATGCCCCTTATACACCAGCCAGATCATTCCAACCATCTGGTGAAGCCCACCTGACTTTCCGACAGTTGTTTCAGATTTGTTTAGTGTCTATGCAGACCAAGGTCTTTAGTGTCTTGGCACCAGTACAGTAATAGGACACTGTTCCTATTGAAATCAGGCACCCATAACTCTGATATTTTGCCCCCTGTTGAAAACATTTCTGCCTCGCCAAGCAGTTTTAAAGCATTGGTGTGGTTTTGCATCTATCATTTGTTTTGTATTTTATGATTTCACAATATAAATCCATTTTAATGTTTGTGTTTCACATCACCATGCTATATTTTTTTTGCATGAGCAAATACCGGTACTCCTATGAATAAAAATAAAACGAATCATCTGGGCCAAGGTCATAACGCCAATTCCGGTCACCAGATAAGTAAGTGTCAAAAACAAACTAGGTTCGGCACTGAGCTGTGAAGATGACATAGAGTTAATTCTGGAGTGAGTCTGCAGAAAATTTACTCAAGTCCCATTATCAGCATGTCAGTAAGGATGCTTAAGGGATTCAATATTTGCTACTTTTGATAGGAAGTGATCTGCACCTTAGCCGCAAAATCTATGTGTGCATCAGATTTTATAATTTTCCATTGGTTGCAACACAACTCTTGCTGGAGGCGGAATCTCAGAATGCATTCAAAAATACAGATTTTGAGATAGAACACTTTGGGAGAATATATACTCAAAACTTTAATTGTGAATCTTGCTGCAGTGTGTGTGTGTGTGTGTGTGTGTGTGTGTGTAGGTAGGTAGATCAGCATGATAACAGGATGGAATTGAGCTATGAGCAGGCATGCAAAAATTACCTAGTCTGAAAATAGACTGCTTGGATCACCCTACCTATCAGTTTTGTTCGCCATATGGATTGGCTGTGGGAATTTTATTTCAATAGGGAAGAAAGATTCCTGTATGCAATGTTTTTTCATGTATTTTGCAGTAGCTGTTAAATTCAATGAAAGGAGATAAAACTCAGGAGACCATTTGGTTATAGCCACATTAAGAGGAAAAACACACAACTATATTAAATCCAATTTGATTCTTGCTTTGAAACACATGTAAAGAAATGACAATCTTTGTGGAAGCTTAAATTACTGCTAACTAATCAACACCACTTAGTGACTTGCTAACACTGTGTGTGATTTCTAATTACTTCTGTAGTTTGTCATTGTTTAACACAATCAAAGCTAATTGACCAGAAATTTTTTTTTTTAGGTGATATTGTTGTAGGCTGCAGCGATGTTTTTAGTGTTATTGTTCCACTTTCTTTTAAGCACCCCAACCTTCTCTGCATCATTAAATCTTAAATTGGACTTTGAAAAGAAGTGTATTTTATTACAATTATCAAATGGAAAGGAATGTTCATTCCATGGTAAAAAAAAATATACCAGAAGGGTCTTTATTGCCATTCTTTGCAGGTCAACGGTTTTTAAAAAGGGAAATTTGATTCAAAAGACATATTCTCATTTATACTACAGTAGTTATAGAAGTCAAAGGCAAGAGCAGGAACTAGTGTTAAGTGGGCATTGCTGCTTTTCCCTTTCAGTGGAAAATCTTAACGTCTAAGAGAAAATTAATGATAATGTAGAACTATTAGTGGATTGTGCAAATATGTCTTTGGTGAGTAATCTGTAGTCATTTTATCTTGTCCTACATATTATGAAATATGAAATCTATTTTTTCTGCATTTACCTATTTTTACAAATTTTCTTTCTCTTCCTTTCCCTTCTTCCTATGTGGAAAGAGAGGTCTTTGGAGCTGGGGTATAGGTCAACACAGGGCCACATTTAGGTTTGATGAGGCCCTAAACTACTGAAGGTAATGGGGCCCTTTATATGTCCAGCTGTTCTTTCTCAGCAACAAATTGTTGCTGTTTTTTGTGTGGAATATATGCTATATGGTAATTTATGGACCTAATAGGTATCTAAAGCCATTTGCACATAACAAATAGGAGCCTACACAACACAAAACACTGTTGCTGTATGTAGGTTTTATTTGATTTGTTTTTTATCTTATATTTTGGAAATGTACATCCAGGTTTTTTTCCTTTAAATTTTTTGGGGGAGCCCAAGAGAGTGGGGCCCAAAGCTATAGCTTGTTTAGCTTATATATACATCTGGCACTGGGTGGACATGTAGTATCTGGAACGGAGGAAACAACCACAGCACAGTGGTAGAGCATATGCACTCCATGCAGAAAATCCCAGCTTCATGCCCATTTGAAAAGACTGTTTACCAGGTGATGAGAAAGATCCTGGAGATTCCGTGCTAGCCAGAGTTAGCCCTACTGAGTTAGATGGACAAATAGTCATGTTTCATGCCCTGGATCAATTGTTCTTCAAGCACAGAGCCATTGAGCTTAATGGCAGGGACAAACGCGGCAGGCAGAAGGTGCACTCTACTGACCAGTGAAAAGCAGCAGATGTTGGCAAAGCAGAGTAGTGTGCTGTGGTTCATCTGGTTTCCCAATGTGGATGGCATTGCCGATAACCAAGATGGAGTGGGGTGAAAAGCCAGGGAGGTCAGTGTGGCGAGGGTGCAGTGGCAGAGCTAATCCAATATCCCTGCCGCTGCAGCCACACAGCACTGACCTCCCCTCTGTGTTTACTCTTCTAGTCAGTTGCTGGCAGTGACCTCTGCAGTGGGACGCCAGGTGAGCAACTTACCTGCCTGCTGGCCATTACCGGTCAAGAGTTAATGTACCTTATGAACCTTGAATGCTGGGATAGCTCAGTCGGTAGAGCATGAGGTGCTGAATCTTAGAGTCATGGGGTTAAGCCCACGTTTTGCAAAAGATTCCTGCATTGCAGGGGGTTGGATTAGATGATCCTCACAGTCCCTTCAAACTCTACAATTCTATGGTTCTATGATTCTATGACTACCTGACTCTGTATGCTCGATGTTAATCACTGATGGGGCACATTTGGGAGTTCCCCATGCCCCTGAAGTTTGGCTGGGACTAGGGACCAATATTTTAGTGTGCAACTCCCCATTGGAAGAAGTCTGACAGGAACCACCCCTGCCTTCTTGTAGGCATCTTCTGAAAACTGCATTGTTTATTTTCTTTTTCTTTCTTTCTTTTTTTAAAATATTTTTATTAGTAATTTCAACATAACATTTTATCAAAAAGCATATCATCCTTAAATCCCCCCTATTTTTCCCTCCCTCCTCCCCAAAATATAGCCCCCCTCCCCTACTCCCCCAGACTTCCCTCAGCTCCTCTCTCTGGTTTATCAACATATGTTATTTTCTGCATGTTACAAAACTGTACAGATCCTTAATTTATCTATCTAGATGTTATCAATAAGAAGTTTGTGAATGTTTATTCAAAACCTGCCAAGGAGTCCAGTTCATTTTGTTGTTTCTTTAAATACTTTGTAAAGGGTTCCCATTCATCTTTAAAATCACAGTTATCCTTATCATGTAGTTTGTGTGTCAGTTTTGCCAATTCTGCGTAGTCCATCAATTTTTCTTGCCACAGTTCTTTGGTTGGGATTTCCTCATTCTTCCATCCTTGTGCTATTAAGACTCTTGCCGCCATTGTCACATACATAGAGATATTTTTGAAAACTGCATTGTTTAGATAGACCTTTGTAATATGAATTTCTCTCTTTTTTAAAAAACCAACCAATGTTTATTGATTTTTAACGGTGTTTTTATGGACCCTTTTACTGATTTTATATTAACTCTGTATGTTGCATACCACCTTGATATGTTTCTAGGAAAAGTGCAGATTATAAGGACTTCAGAAACCAGGTTCCTAGTATTTGATCCAAGTCAGGCCAAGCTAGAAGTTTCATACTCTCTGCCAAGTGCAAGAGCTGATGCAACATGCTTTTCCTTTAGTGCCTTAAGATGGCTCTGGGGCCTGAGTGCATGCTGTTTATGATAGGTTGAGGTCCCAACTTCCAACCATGAAGTCAGTGGTGCAATCCCTGGCAGGACTGAAAAACGAATACATGTCATACTCTGGATTAGGGATAGGTTCAAAATATTTAATGCCAGTATATTTTGCATGTACTTGTCTCTGGAAGTTATATGGGACAAGGAAAAACAGAGAGAGGAATTTGATGAAGAGCTTTGTCAATTGTTGCACCAATGGAAGTATTTTGGCTTGCCAGATGGAATGATCCTCTGTACACTGTTCTGGGGGTTATCCATATGCCCTCAGAGCTAGAATTTTAAGGGGGTTCACAAGGGGAGGAGAAGGGATGAAACTGCTGTTGAACTAGCAGAAGTCATTGCATGAGTTTCTGCTACCAGGACTCATTAGTTGAAGCTGGCTTATAGGACCCCTTTACTGAAAGTGACTCCTCTTGAAAGTTGGTGGTCTAATGCATTCCATCCATTCATCTCTCAACAGGCACAATTATCTTACATGTGATTCAATAGGAGCATATTCTCTTTTGGTCAGCTGAATTCTGGCAAATAGCCTGCCTCAGGGTTGTGGTTTTGTGCCCCGTGTTGGGCAACAGATTCCTGAATTCCAGGGAGTTGGACTAGATGACCCTCATGGTCTCTTCCAACTCTACAATTCTGTGATCAGCAGAGCATAGTGCTATTATGCCCATAAGGGGAGCCTGCAACAAAATCTGATTTGGTATTGTTTTTATGCAAGAGTTCCTACATGTGCTATGGTTTTAACTGTTTTGCATAGGTTATTATACTGTAAATCTCTTCAAGATGCTTTATGGGAAGCAATTAATAAATAATAATTTAGGGTTCTTTCTCGTTAAACTGAACATAGACCCAATAGCACTTCATATAGATGACTGTCCACTGACAGCTCTTCAGATAGAAAATTGTCTTATGTAAAGCAAGATACATAGGGACCGTATACTGCAGATGAGACTCTTAAGGCTGGAAGAAAGTAGATTTCTTGATATCCCATTGTGAATTTATAGCAGAGGCAAGATTTGGACTGGGACATTACCTACTACACCACCATGCAGAATCTCTGGTTTTGCACCAATTTTATTTAGGAACCCCAGAGAACAGGCAGAAGCTGCCCATATTTTTCACAGCCGCAGCACTCTTGAATTATTAGAACATTCAAAAATACAAGGCCAAAGTCTTGACTGGTGTAAATTGTCGCTGCTCGACTGGAATCAATTTTACATCTGCAGAGAATCTGGTGAAAAGCCCTTTAAGGTTACTTGATTAATACTTTAGCAGAGCTGGAAAATTATTAGAACATTCAGGGGCCTCTTCTGTCATTCCATGAAGCCCTTGACATTTATTGTAATTAAAAATCAAAATGCCTACAAAACATTTCTCTTGTTTAAATGTTAAAGAAGTGGTGCTCTCGTCACTTGAAAACACCCATTCATCTTGACCCTGAGTGTGGGAGTTTAATTCATCTAAGAAGGGAGTCGGGGGATTTAGTGATGAACTAGGCATGAAGTGAATGTTACATTCCTCACCTTATTCCTCTCCAGTATTTTGTTCAGGGTCATACACCCATTTTTGTTGTATTTTGTCATCATCTAATTAAACTGTGGGTACGTACTGAGAATACGCAACTGAGAGATAAGCTAGCTTTAGGGTGGAAGCCAAACTCCACCGCTTCTAACTGCCAGGCTGGAAGGTGGGGTGGCAAGGAAATTCTGGGTTTAGCTAGGACTGATTCCACACCTTGCCAGTAGCTGGACATGTTGAAGATCCAAAGAATGCTTGGCTGATCCAGCTCTGCCCCCTACTCATCCTGACCCTACCATCAAAATGCTTGATTTTTTTATGGTATGTAAGTGCCACCAGTTGTGAAGGTACCACTGACAGTAGCTTCACCTGCTCACAATTTAGGTGGGTGCAGTCAAGAGCTCTGCAGCTTCCATTGGTGGAGCCCACCTACCCAGGCAGGTAGGGATGGGCAGTGGAAAAACCCTGCTTCACCCATACTCTTTCCAGCATGGTAGATCAGGGGGTTGGATTGCCCTGGCCAGCAGCAATCTTACGCCTGGGAGTTGTTGGCATCCGTCTGTCTTGAGGGACAATGAAAGAATATGCCATCAGGGGTAAAGTCAAACCATTGGAGAGTTGCAGCACCTGCTATGGCTGTAGAGACCGATATGGGAAAGACATGTTTTATTGCAGCTGGGGGAGATGAACATGTTTGGTTTTGCAGGCGTTTCTTCTCTCAGTGCTCCTTCCAGTGGTCATTCCTCCTCTGGTCACTACTGTGGATACACAACCTGACTGCCTGAGAGTAAGTCTCATTGAAGTCTATGGGGCTTACATCTGAGCATATATACATAGAAAATGTGCCAAGTTTCCAGAACAGGCATAGGCAAACTCAGGCCCCCATATGTTTTGAGATTACAATTCCCATCATCCTTGACCACTGGTCCTGTTAGCTAGGGATGATGGGAGTTGTGGCCCCAAAACATCTGGAGGGCTGAGTTTGCCTATGCCTGTTCCAGAACCTTTTCCTAAAGCAAAATGGCAACCAGATTGGAGCCTTCCCCCACAAACACATCTGAGAAATTGTAAGTTGAGTGCTTTGTAAGACTGGTGGAAGTATCTCTTGAACATTTTGAACATCCTTAGCTACTGCTTCATTAGATTTGTTGTAACCAACCCTGGGACCTGGGCAGGTAATAAATTATAATATTAAGAATAAAAATAATCGTCTTGCTTCATGCCAGTTGCTTGTGCATAGGATTACTCCTTTAGTGTCAGAACTGGGGCTCAGAAGATATTCTCAGTGTTTATAAAAATAACATGTGAATCTGCCCCCTGATAACAAACTATTAGAGCACAGCGCATTTAGAGCCAACCTCTGATGTTCTGACTTCGCACATCTGCAGGGGCAAATCCCCTGTGCTGCAGAGAGGATGCGATCTTGTAAGGAAAGTTTGTTACTTTTCACTCTCCCCACCCCCACCCCACTGAATCTCTGTCCACTCGATCAGGAAACGCATTCATGCCACACGCAGCACTGCTTCTTTGCCTTCGTGATTGTGAGAATACTCTCGGGCAATTAATCTAGAACAATAGACACAGTATTTATGAAGGCAATATAAATGTTAATAGCAACGCGGATTTTGTGTGCACAAGACAAAAAGGTCACGTCCCCCCCCCCATCATCGCTTGGGACAGTTTGATAATGAACGTTTAATAATGTCAAAATCGTATTGCTTATTCAGCAGAGATGAGATATCATATCATGGAAGTCTATCACCGATGATGAAATCATTACCTGAGCTGAATGGGAAGAAAGCCAGTCAGTCATCTGGGAGGATTTATTTAGATAGCTTCTAACACAAGGAGGACCTTGATTTAAATCACTTCGTAATGCCTTTTTGTCTCTGCCTCTTCATCCCCTTTACTTTCCGAGCTTTACAAACAGAATAGATCTGAATGACAATCGAGGAAATTTTCTTGGTTTCCTATTTTACGCTGTTTCACCCCAAGTGCTCAAGAGAGGCACTAATCCTTTGAAAAAGAGGGCAGCCTTCTAACAAATTAACATTACATGCATTCCCTATGAGCCACTAGAAGGCAAGGCAAATTAGGATTATCTTTTCGTTAAAAAAATAAAGTCTTAAGAAGAACACAGGAAGCTGCCTTATACTGAGTTAATCAATTGGTCTGTTGGATTCAATATTGTCTACACTGACTGGCAGCATCCGTCAAACATTTTGAGCAGGTTTCTTTATCTGCCCTACCTGGAGAGATCAGGAATTGAACCTGCAACCTTCTGTATACAAAGCATGTGGCGTGTATTTGGCCCTTTTCCAACGTTCAGCTTCCGAGTGAATTTTCTAGGAGAGGGGTAGCAAACATAGGACTTACCCACACATACCTTTACTCCCAATTTCCAGGCACAGCTTGTGCTTTCAAGCTTCATGTTTGATCGCCATTGGATCAGAGCAAACAGCAAGCCTCAGAAAGCTCAAATTATCATTTGTTGTGCTTCAGCCTTATAGAGCAAGTTTTCACAGAGAAAGCTCTAGGGCGAAAGAAAGAGCACTCAGAGATTGAGCTTTTCATTGCAGACCTGTGATTAGAAACCACAGGGCAAAATGTAAGTGGCTAATAATTTAGAGATAATTTTATTATTTATACCTTGCCCCAGCCCCAAGTTCATTATTTTCAGTGGGTCCACGTAGTTCATTGCCACTCAGTGTTTTCAACACTGATGGGCACCGAATCTCCAGGATTTCAGGAAAGCATCTCTCCACCCTTACCTGAAGATGCTGAAGACTGAACCTGGGACATAATAATAATAATAATAATAATAATAATAATAATAATAATATTTCCCCAGCCTCTCTGGGTGACTTTCAACAGAACATTAAAAACAGAATAAAACTTCAAACATTAAAAACTTCCCTGAACAGGGCTGCCTTCAGATGTCTTCTGAAAGTCGGATAGTTGTTTATTTCCTTAACATCTGATGGGAGGGTGTTCCACAGGGTGGGTGCCACTACTGAGAAGGCCCTCTGCCTGGTTCCCTGTAACCTCACTTCTTGTACTGAGGGAACCACCAGAAGGCCCTCAGACGCATGCTACAACCCTTCCCTTTCAGGACAGATCAAACTTTTGGGGGGCTTCCTTTATGAGTACACCCTACGCCCGGGCTATCTGAAGGACTGTATTCTCCCATACAATCTTCAAGCTCCATGATCTTGATCTCTCATTCTTGCCACCCTCACAGGTGGTAGGGACCCAGGAGAGGGCCATCTTGGTGGCTGCTCCCAGATGTCCCTTACTGGTGAGGCTAGACTAGCTCCCTCCTCGTTGTCTCTTCTTTGGCAGGTGAAGGCTGTTTTATTCCAGCAGGCTTTGGTGAACCAAAGGAAAGGGCTTTTAATGGAGTTGTGTTGTGCGATCTGCATTTTAACATATTTGTTTTGACATTGTTTTAAATTCCATTATAGCTTAATTCCTTTTTAACTATTATCTTTTATATGTTTTTAGCTATCTGTGTTTTCCCCTCCCCTTCTTTTAATTTTTATGAGGTGCCTTGAGTCCCATTTCTGAGGGAAAGGCAGGACTTAAATGAATAAAGTCAGTGTAGTGTAGTGGTTAAGAGTGGTGGACTCATAATCTGGTGAGCTGGGTTCACTTCCTCCAAATGCAGCTGCTGGGTGACCTTGGGCTAGTCACACTTCTCTGAAGTCTCTCAGCCTCACTCACCTCACAGAGTGTTTGTTGTGGGGAGGAAGGGAAAGGAGATTGTGAGCCGCTTTCAGACTCCTTAAGAGGAGTGAAAGGCAGGATATCAAGTCCAAACTCCTCCTCTTCATAACAATGCTCTCAATTGAACATGGGACCTTCTGCATTATGGACCTGCTTTCAGAAGACTCATCAAGACCCTCAAGATATTGCAATACTTGTTCAGTGGCAGAGCGTGGGCCAGTCATGCATAAGGCCCCATTAGGTGATGGAGGTGGGTCAAATGAACAGTTTTATGTACCTGCTTTCCTCCCAAGGCCCTCAAGGTATTGCAAGCACTCAAAGGGGATGCTAGGGAGAAAGTTTGCCCGCCCGTCTCTTTGTCAAATATAGCTTAGGTGATGATTTGCTATAGTGAGGAGAAAAGGATGCAAAGCCGCTTTTGCTTGGCATTCTTTTACAAGCAGGCGATAATGGTTCATCTAATGGCTGCCATGAGAAGTTGCATACCACCTGCCAAATCTGCATTTGCAAACACAGGGATATTTTTTATTCAATTCTGCATATGAACAATGCCAAGTGGATGTCATTGCTCCCCCTCCACTCTCTCAGATACATTAATACATTTTTATAACTAATTACATAACTTCCCATAGCATTCCAGATCAGCAGTGCATGATAATTTGCTCTTTTTCAGTGACTGATGTTGAGCAGCAATGATTTCAATGTGTTTTTAATATTTTAAGTAAATTGAAGTGTGTGTGTGTGTGTGTGTGTGTGTGTGTGGTTGGTTAAAACTGTGTTTCCTTCTGTAGTAGATTATTTAATGACTTACTGAAATGATAGATTGTTTTACTTTAATGAAGAATTGTTTCTTAACTAGAGTTATCATTTATCTGTAGCTGTCAGAAATCATTCAAAATTTTCGGTGTTTCCCCCTCTTTATAATGGAGAGAGATGCTTTTCTGCCTCACAACTTTTTTGCTCAGTAAAAAGAGAAATGACCGTCAAATTCCACACAAACCTGTAGGCGCCCTCCTTATTGTAAGTGAACAACCCACCTACAAATTTCCAAATTAATCAAAGCCCGTCTAAAGTTAAGTGCATCTAAAATCCGTTTGTTCAACTGGAAAAAAGTTTAAGGCATGTAGTTAATTCTCCAGTTGAAATCAACTGGAAATTAAGAGACCTTAACTGGGTAGATTGTGCCTATAGGTTTCCCTCCCCCTTCCTAAATAAATTAGTCTCAAATTAATTGTTCATATATGTTCATTTTGCTTATTCTCCAGCTGACTTAGCTTCTGATATGAAAATTCATCCTTATGTAGATTGAGAGAGAATTGTATGCCCAAGCAGCTACCATAAAGCAAGCCAGTGTAAGGTGAGCTGGCGCAAAGTTATACCACATCCAAACCACTGGGGCAACTGCTTCTGCTCTGCCTAAACCTGGCAGAGGGGGGAAAACCATTGCCTTTAAAATAGTGGGTTGCCAGGTCACATGACTGAACTGAACAGGTTTAGGATCCAACCTAAATCCCTTCTGCCTGGCTCCACCCCCCTACCACAGCCCTGGAATGCCCTTGGCCGACTTGCTTCAGCTCAGCCAGTTTGGCTCAGCCGGGGTGAACGAATTATGTCGGCATATCTTCACCTAAACCAGGGTTACGTACCTTGGCATCTCAATTTTCAGTGCAACACCCAGGGGCGTCTTGCCCATAGAGGCAAGGGGCGTGGGGCGCCAGGGCGCCAAGTTCTAGAGGGCACCAGGGAAGAGGCGGAGGCTGGGCATGGCACTTCCCAGCATCAGCTCGCTGCCCTCGCCTGCCTCACTGAAGCAGCATCGCACCCGGAGCCTCCGCCTCTTCCCCGCCAGAGGAGCCACCCTCCAGCTGCTGCCCACCTCCTCCAACCCTGCAAAGGTGCCAGCAGCACCATAAAAAGGTTGGCAACTCTGGGAAAGGGGGGGGCGCCAGAGGGATCTTTGCACCACGGCACTGGATATACTTAAGATGGCCCTGGCAACACCAAAATCCAGCATTCTCCCATCTCTTGCCTTCCACTGGATGTCACTGTTGTGGCACCTGCTATGGCTCTCCAGAAGCACTGCGCCTAGTGCAACCAAACCGGTTACTCTACCCACTAGATTCAACTTGGTTAACACTGGCTGGACTTGGCTGAGTTGGGAATCAACCAGCTGAACTGGAGATCTGCTGCATCTTAAGCTGCTCATCCAGGCAGATCTTGCCCATAGGTTTGACCCCTTAGTTGTGTTTTCATGATGGATCTTACACCGGACTGCAGTTCCACTGTAACATTGATCACACCCTGAATCATCTTTTTAATGGAGCCTTGAGTGCAATGCATCTGAATCAGCGGGTACTTGTCCATTCTATGGGTGATGCTGAAATCTCATCAGTAGAAGTTGCATGAACACTGAACATTAGTAATGATCTCACACTTTCCCCCTAAAAATCAAGTGTCAGAGAGGGCATTGGGAATGCAGGTCAGCAATAACTCACAAGGTGTCAGTGAAGCTAAGGCAATCTCATAGGTAAACTGGTCCTAAGTTGTTATGGGGTTTGTAGGCTAATAGTAACACTTTGAACATGGCTCAGTAGCATATCATCAACCAGTGCAGATCTCTGAGCACAGGTGTTATATGCTGACAAGGCCTCACTCCTGTTGGCATCCATGCTGCAGCATTCTGCACTAACTGCAGGTTCTGAATCAAATGCAAGGGTAGCCATTGTCCCTATTTTCCAGGGACAGTCCCGGATTTACAGAAGCCGTCCCAGTTTCTGATTTAATCCTGGAATGTCCCGCTTTTCCTTGTTGTTTAGTCGTTTAGTCTTGTCTGACTCTTCGTGACCCCATGGACCAGAGCACGCCAGGCACTCCTGTCTTCCACTGCCTCCCGCAGTTTGGTCAGACTCATGCTGGTAGCTTCGAGAACACTATCCAACCATCTCGTCCTCTGTCATCCCCTTCTCCTTGTGCCCTCCATCTTTCCGAACATCAGGGTCTTTTCCAGGGAGTCTTCTCTTCTTATGAGGTGGCCAAAGTATTGGAGCCTCAGCTTCAGGATCTGTCCTTCCAGTGAGCACTCAGGGCTGATTTCCTTAAGAATGGAGAGGTTTGATCTTCTTGCAGTCCATGGAACTCTCAAGAGTCTCCTCCAGCACCATAATTCAAAAGCATCAATTCTTCGGCGATCAGCCTTCTTTATGGTCCAGCTTTCACTTTCATACATCACTACTGGGAAAACCATAGCTTTTACTATATGGACCTTTGTTGGCTAGGACGTCCCTATTTTCACTGAAGAAATGTTGGAGATCATGGCACTGCAGTTATCCCGTCTTGAAGCAACCAGCACATGAACTATTGTGCAATGTTTTCCCAGTCCAGAAATGTCATAGCTGTTGGTAAAGCACACTTCTAGCCAGTGGCAGAGCTGAATCCAGAAGCTGCAAAACAGCTCCTTCAACAGGAGGGCAATCCCATCCAGGAAAGGCAAGTGACCAATTTCTTGGACACAGGAATTGCTCACCTACAGTGCCTGCATGTTGCCAGAATTCAAGCTCAGCTTCAGTTCTACCCTAACAAACTCACACACCTACCTTCTCATATATGCCAACTTTATATCATTTAAAAAAATAATGATCTGTGGCTGCCTTTAATGCTTCGTCACAGTTTTGGTAAAGCAGTGTAAATAGGAGCAAATCCACTTACATTTACACCACTCCTGACAGTGGCTTGACCCTACAAGTTGGTGCTTGTGTTGTTACATATGCAGGGCTTATTAGCAAGACACCCACAGACTTCTGTATTGATCAGCTGCATAACAAATTGCACACCAGGCAATCACAGTTTGTGAAAGGATCAGGGAAAGAAAGGGGGGGGGAGAGAACCACACACACACACACATTATTATCAGCAGGAGCCCAGAGTCATTATGCAGTTAGCGTCTGGCTTTGATCTGAAATCTCGTTTCTACCAAATTTACGCCAGTGACTTTAAGGAAAATTGTCCTTTAATTAGGCTGGTGTAAATGAGAGGTGGAAGCGGACCCTTTTGCCTATACTTCACTCTGCAAAATGATTATAACTCACTCTTCCGTAGCCTTTTAACAAGTCAAATTACATTCTGTGTCTAGTTAAATACAAGTGTTTCTGCACAGAATTGGGTTGGATGGAAGGCGCCTAAGGATGTTTGTGTATCCAAGTAACGTTGTTAAACATTATACATTGCTCGTTCTCAGTCCTGTATGCCTGTTATGTGGAGTTTATTCTCTCTGCCACCCACCCTGTTTTTCTGTAGTATGCTGTTTTGATGTCATGTCTGCTCCACCTACTGGAATATTGATTCTTACCCCCCCCCCCCGGGGGCTTACTCTTAAAATAAAAATAGAAATCAATATGATTTATATTGGCACTTGCTGGTGACATTATAATTTCGAAGTCTGCCAGCAGCTGGTTTCTAGCAAACCTCAAAATAATGCTAATGCATTGATGGAAGCTCATGAATTGGAACTAAAGCTATGGATGGCTAAAATAGTCATGTGAGTCTCTCAGTCTGACCTACTTTTTGAGGTTGTTGTAAAGATAAAATGAGTGAGACGGTCAAAGCCCAGGCTCAGCTGGCAGCTAGGATTCAGATGCAGTGGATGAGGAAGGGGCAACTGAATCAGGATTGCCCCAGTCCCTGGCAAACCAACAAGTCCTGGACCTTGATACTGAGCCCAGCTCTGGCAAGCCTGAAGCACCCTGAACCAGGACTATCAGATGCAACTCCTCCTAAGTTGGACTCCCCCAAGGGGCTGAGCCCCCTACACCAAACCCCTCACTGATACATGAGATGTACCAGTTGGAATTAAGTCACAGAGAGAAAATAGAGGGCTCAGCTCCATAGATCTCTATTCCCCAAGCCGTATGGTAAGCTCAGAGGGGTGATGGGATAAGTTGGAGTCATTTGCTGATGCCCAATGAGCTGTCCATGGTTCTGCAGGCCTTTCAGTTAACCACCCTTATATTCTCTAGGTCGTTGTTGTTTAGTCCTGTCCCACTCTTCGTGACCTTCTGGACCAGAGCACTCCAGGCACTCCTGTCTTCCACTGCCTCCCGCAGTTTGGTCAAACTCATGTTGGTAGCTTTGAGAACACTGTCCAACCATCTCGTCCTCTGTCATCCCCTTCTCCTTGTGCCCTCAATCTTTCCCAGCATCAGGGTCTTTTCCAGGGAGTCTTCTCATGATGTGGCCAAAGTATTGGAGCCTCAGCCTCAGGATCTGTCCTTCCAGTGAGCACTCAGGGCTGATTTCCTTCAGAATGGACAGGGTTTCCTAAATGTGGGTGTCCAGCTGTTTGTGGACTACAGTTCCCATCATCCCTGACCATGGGTCCTGCTAGTTAGGGATGGTGGAAGTTGTAGTCCAAAAACAGCTGGAGACTCTAGTTTGGGAAACCCTACTCTAGATCTCTATCAAATGTCTACACTTTGTGTGTGTGTTTTGAAGCTGTCTGCTACCCTTGTCCTTGTCGTTGTGACTACCACATTGAACTTCCATGTTGGTGATTTCAGATCTCTCTACTACTCCAGTCTACTGTCTGGTCATGCCACCCGTTGAACATGGGTTCTGCCTCTGCTGAGATCAAATGGTAGAGCGAACAACATTGCAGCACTCTGAATGCCTTGGATAAAGGGATAGGAATGAATGAATGAATGATGGATGAATGAATGAATGAATGCAGCTTTTAATAATAGTGCTAATAAAAATTAGGGAGAGCAGATTCTTTTGGGATGTCAACCTTGCCCATTCCAGAAAGCTACAGGCTGGCATTGCTACATTAAAATCCTGTATAAAATAACCAATTGAAATAGATAAAACATAACAAGCTTAAACCCACCCCCATTTATTCTGGATTTTTTCTAGGCTATCCACCCCCAAGGAAACAATAAAAATGCGATGAGCACAATAAAATGTCCAATTAGCAAAACCCAATAAAAGTGTGCAATTACAAATTGCGAAATAAAACATGCTAAGCAAGTGATGTTCTGTTAAAAACTCTTCTTGCCAAAAGCCAGATCATTGTATCCACCACACAAGTAGAGCCAGCTATACAAGGGGGCACAGGGCACACAGCTCTGTCTTCCAGGACCCCACTGCCAACCTCAGCATTGGCTCCTTAAGGAGGCTGCTTTGCTCTGGCCAATTCTACACCATACATTTAAGGTACTCTTATACCACTTTAAAAGTCATGGCTTCCCCCAAAGAATTATGGGAACTGTTAAGGGTGCTGAGAGCTGTTAGGAGACCCCTGTTCCTCCCATAGAAACTCTGATTCCCAGAGTAATTTAACAACCAATCCCTTTTCCCAGGGAATTGAAAATCTTAGAGCCTGCACCCAACCAAAACCTGAAACGGTCCTCCTGTTGAGAACAACCGCCTTTCATGTGTTCACCTTGCCCGATTGCTCTTGCCACTTTCCGACTTAAAGTAGCTTATTCTCAGGTTGCATTGCTCTAAACCTCCAAATCCTTTCTTTTCTACCTTTGAATCAAAGGCTAGATTGTGACAAGAAACAGCCTGAGATTGTCGCTGGCCTTTTGAAACCAACAAGAAAGAAACCTTATGGGGTTCTATTAGGCACGGAAATGATCAGTAATAAAGTTTCTTTCGTGTCTGTTTTTCTTTTTTTCCTCCTGCGGAACAATATTATTCAACTTCTTGACACTAGGCACCCGTTTTTTATTTTATTTTTTCTATCCAAGGAGCTAATAATGTTATTTTTGTCCTTGCGTTATCGAGGCAAGACAGAGATATTTGTCCCTTTGATGCGTTAGATATCACATTATCCATTCCCCCACCCCATTACGATTTGGCAGGTGCTATCTCAAAGACCAAAGGGACAGTGTAAACATAGGTTCAAGTTGTCTTCTAGCACAAGGCCCGTTTGTGCATTCAGTAAGATCAAGTAGTGGAACTGTCCCTGGACTCTGCCACTTTGGAAAGATGGGAGGAGTCACAATTTTTAAATGTTCCTCTGCGGTGGAAGGGAAAGCCTCTCTGCCCTGGATGGGGGAGACATTTAGTTCAATTCACATTTGAAGACAACTTATGTAATTCAAACTTCCTGAAACAGCACAAAAACCAGAATGCCCCTGTCCTTCAAAATTCACACTTCTCTGGATTTTGTAGTGCATATTTCCTACCACGTATCTTAGGGAGAAACATTTGTGAAAACAATTATATTAATGAAAATGGCATCCAAAATATATTATATTAGGAGAATTGTAGAGTTGGAAAGTACATCTAGTCCAACCCCGTGCAAGGCAGGAATCACAACACACACACACACTGTGTATATTAGGAGAAATGAATATTAAAATGCTAATAAACTTTCATGCTGAATTTCAAAAATAAGAAATTGAGGTGGGAAGTAACAGCATTGTTCATATCAACATATCTGAACATGGAACACTCGCATGCCAAGGACAACCCTGACCCTTTTTCCCTGACACGCTACGTTACTGTGTGCAGGAATTTTCGTTTGTAGGAGTACAAAAGCTCGTATATGCCAGATCAAATTGCTTGTCTGTCTGGCACAATATGCACAAGGAACTCATTTCAATACTCAGAAGAGGCATCAGTTAAAAGGATCACCTAACAGATGATGGAAAGTATCTGGAGAGTCCTTTTTGCATGCAGGATTTTTTTGTTTGTAAGAGTACACAAACTCCTATAGACCAGATCAGTTTGCTTGTCCGTCCAGCACAGTATGATCCTTGAAACTTATGCCTCTCTGGTTTTCAAGAGACTCTGTGAAAAATAGAGGAATATTGTTAAAAAGAGAATAAGATGAGGGAAGGAGATGTTTAAAGGCAATACTAAGTTAAGAAATGCGTTAATAATATAGATGTAAACGAAAGATCGGCAGAAGAACTGAGGGAAGTCAAAAAAAGAGATGAATGTGTGATAAAATGCGAATTGATTGTATAAAAAATTGTTTTTTTGGAAAATGAATAAAAATATTATTAAAAAAAAACAACTTATGCCTCTTCTGAGTATTAAAATGAGTTCCTTGTGCTTACACACTATGTGTTCCACCACTGAGCCATGCTCCCTTCCCAACAGGAGACCATTCATTCATACACCCAAGACCCAGAAAGGTCAAATGCAGGTCAAAATGGTGAAATCCAGAATAAGGCTTTGCCTCTTCAGATGGGTTCTTCAAGTGTCTTTCAAACAGTGTTATGGGGAAACCTGGGGTGTCTTGGAAGTTTATCTA